CCACAGTGGCAAAACGCTTTCCTCTGTTGTCCCTTTTAGGTCTGGAGAACAAAAAGAAATCACAGGGGGTAAAAACACCTCTACAATCGAAGAAACAAATGAGCATTGTCTTGATGTTTGACTTCACTTGGCAAGGTTTTTTTGGACAAGGAGAGCCAGTTGATGTCTTCAAATGGCTTGATTGTTGCTATGTCATAAGTAATCACCTTAGAAAAAAATTCAGAGTCCTTGAGCTTTGATTTTGAAGCTCAAAACATGCCTGAAGTCTATGTCCTCTTTGGATTGAACTCCGTGATATTCCAGACATCTCAGAGAGTTGATCAATGATCTGGTGAGTCTTCAAGGACGAGAGCATTGATTTTGTCGAAGTTTTTGTCACTTCATGACGTTGAAGGGAGTCCTGCACAGGGTTGGTCTTCAATTGATATTCCTTCATTTTTAAAACGTGAAAACCACTTGTAAACTCTGGTATTACTTATTTCCCCAACAGGAAACAACATTTCACAACCATGCATTTTCCCTAACAGGAAACAACATTTCACAGCCACGCATAACTCTCAACAATTGTGTTTTCGACAAAATGGAAAAAGTTGTTTCACTAAAAAAATTCTCATGGACGAACGGATGCAACCACAATGGCATAACTTCGCACATTAACTCAGGAGAGGTATTCCCTAATGGGTACTGGGTTGAACAATGGTTTCCCCACTCTCTCTCCCCACTGCAGCCCAATTCCCGTTACTGTTGGGTACCCCCTATATATGTAATATATGATAAGGATAAGTATTGCAAGTATTCAAATATGAGTATTCAACGAAAATACACGTTTTTAGGTCCCCTGAGTCTAAATAACCAAGTCTCACAAAATGGCCTGTGTGTATTTATGTGAACAGGCTAGCTCAAAAACAAAGAGTCTTACAAAACTGAAATTATGTAGGTAAGGTTTGTTTATGCATGGGATGTTACAGTAACTTTTTCCTCAAAATCGGCAGACCGGAAGTTTTACTTTATTTCATCAATTTAACACATTTTTACAATTTTCTCAAAAACGGCTTAAACTATTTTTTATTTAACTCACTAGGTCAATGTATTCTTAAGTGGCTTTTAATTCAAAGTAGGTTTTATCCTCATCAATGCAACCAGACTGATTGTTTGAGGACTTGAGGATTTACTAATATAAACCTAATAATATGCAATATTTATAAACTATAAGTTATATTTTCGACAAGTTTCATGTTAGAGGTTTCTGATAAAACTGAGAATTTTTTCAAAAGACTTATTTTCCCCACAATCATTAGTATTGTTTGATACAACATACAGTTATAAGAGGAAATGGAATGTGATGCAAACATATAAATTTAACTTATCTAATGGGCGGGAAAAGTATGGTAATTAATCATTTTAAATGAAGTTGTACTACCTTTGACTTTCTATAAGAAAATACTTATCTACTCTAAGGTTGTGTGATGCGCGCACTAAACCAGATTTTTATTTATCAAAGACAATTAGCACTTAAAAATAAAGAAAAATATTAATCAGGTTATAAAAAGTGACAATTATCTTTGAGAAATAAAAATGACAAACCTACAAAAATTTGTGTGTATGAATGTGATTTAAATTAAAAAATAAATAAGCAGAAATAGCTGAAGATGGATAATCGAGAGAAACATTCCAATCTATGTGATAAGAAATAAAGTTAATAAAAATTGTATCAAAGAATATCAAAAAGTTTATCTTTTATTCATACTTATTAGACACTCAACCAAGTTATAATAAAAAAATGCCTATTTAAGATAGGCCACTTCTATTTGCCATGTCACAAACTAAACCAATTTAAAAAAAAAAAGAAAAAAGATTTTGTACTTTTAAACACATTTGAAGAGAGTTTTTAAGTGGCTTAATTACACAAAGTTCTGTTTTACTTAAAATCATGGATTGTTCACATTTTTATTTTCACATACCTATATATGAAATATGTAATAAGGGGAAGTATTGCGATCAAGACAATTTTCGAATCTCAGTTTTCAATGGAAATACACGTTTTAAGGTCCTCTGAATCCAAATTACCAAGTCCCACAAAATGGTCTGTGTGTGTGTGTCTGTGTGCGTACGTGCATGTGTGTGTTAACAGTCTAGCTCAAGTCGTGCTCAAGCAACATTGCATATTTAAAGTTTTTACAAGCTAGGAATGTAACAACTTTTTCTTCAAAATCGGCTAACCAGAAATGGCACTTTATAGAATGCACTAAACTCATTTCAAAAATGGCTCTAATGATTTTGATTAAATTCATCATTTCAGTGTAAAATTAAGAAATTTCAAATAAAATGTTGTTTTTATTCTGATTGATGTTTTTTAACAGAGCTTAAATGGCTAACTTTGAATATTAGCTTCCCCTAAAGTACCTTTAATTTGTTTTATTTGAAACAATTGACCATTTCACATTTATCTCTAATATAAAAGATAGTTAAATATAAAATAATTTAATAATTAACTAAAGGAGAAATAAAAGATTGTAACGGAGAATAGTTGTAATTGAGGAATCTAAGGGATACGAGCACACTCGAAAGATCAGAAAACGCTTCCATACATAACATGACCTTAATATAATAAGGACTTCGACAATATTATGTACATATACATATTCAGTTTTCATATATGCTATTGAAGGTATTATTAAATATTTAATTATACAGATTACAGCGATATAAATATTAAAATTTGTATATAAATAAGGGTGCTTATAAAAATAAAAATACCCACAATGAATTCTAAATCAATATAACATTTGTAATTTTTACTTTTACTTACCCTTTGTCTAAAAATACTTATTTCTGCTAAGAAGAAGGTTGAAAGTGAAATTTGCGTGATGTGCGTACACTTTTGGGAAGATTTCCATGTTTTAAATGCCCATGCTAATATAACTGAGACCATAAGATATAATTTAGTCAAGTACAACAGTTAAGTGTGAAATTCGGTTTCCATAAATTACTAGTATTTTCAGCAAAAATGATTATAATTAATAATTAATAACTACAAAGCTTTTAGTTATGTTTTCCTGTGAACTAAGGTTCATTTAAATGAACTAATAACTAAAATACACATTTTATTTATACAAAATATATAAAATAAAATTAATAAATCAAATTTATGAATTGAAAGAATGGTTCCATCATAGAAATAGAAAAAGATGATAGGTTATTTCATTTTAATAAAATGTAATCCAAGATTGGATAGCGAATTCAGATTGTAGTCTTATCTATAATTTCTTAATTCTATTTTATATGTATATGTATATATTTATAATTTATTATTTCATAGATATAGTTTTTTTCCCCTTGTATTCATCCATATCTTCAAATTTTAGATACTGTAATTTTTCAGGGTTTTTTTTTTTCCCCCCATTACTCAAACAGATCAGCAAATTTTCCCAATACCTACACCTACCCTTACCCTGATTTTCCAGTTTTAAGTGAAACTCCTAGCTGAACACACCTGTAATTCTCTATTTTTATTCTCCTAATTTTACATGCTTATTTATTTATTTATTTTTTCTTTTCTTTCTCCACATTCCTTTATGTCTATTATTTCATATTATATCCTTTTTCCTTTTCTTTCAATATCTCCTGTAGATCTGTAAAAGTTTGCATTTATAATATATTACACTACAACAATTATTACCACCTATTTACTTCAGTTTAGGATCTTGTTACTTAGCTTACTCTGTTTATATTTTAATGTACTTACAGTTTATAATTTTAATAAGCTTATTCACATTGCTTATAATTTTTTGTCTAAATATTGTGTAACTTCCACAATTCTCTATATCTTTTTGTATCTTGTCCGTTCTAGCCCTGAAGATCTGCAAAGTCGGGTCGAAACGTTGGCTTTTAATAAAATAGTTTTGCCACTAGTTAACCTATTTATGACAGCCACCCCCGACCATCTCCTTCCTTTATAATGCAACGATCATCTATTAAATATTCAAATTGTATTTATGTAATTCTGTATAAAGTTGTCTTCTTAAAAAATCAATAGCTTTCAAAATATAGATGAAAGAACAAGAAAAAAAAAATTGAAATTTTGACATTTTTGCTATTAAAACAACATCACAAGAAACATTTCTGTCAGCAAACCTCATATATATTTTGATTGACCTAAAAATCTTACTTATAACAGAAATATTATATTAAATAAAAATGATGTAATAATTTATTATAATGAAAAACCAATAATTTGGGAAACAGAATTTCACATTCCATAATTGTTTTACAGAAGCAGAGTCGAATCTTGGCCTATTTTATTGCAGACCTCATACATAATTAACGTGGACTCAACTTAATTCCATTAAAATGGAAGCTTATTAAACAAGACAATTTTTTTCAAAGTGTGAAACCCATTTTTATGATTACCATAGAAAGATAGTAATAAAAACTATCATGGACAATCTATGATTTTAAGAAAACCAAAACTTAGCCACTTTAAACCACCCTTCAAATTGTTTTTAACTAAGACAAACTCTAGATACCTTTGGAAAAATGTCTGGCTTTTAATGTTATAATTGGGAATCAACTAACTTCCATAGATTATTAAAAAATGCAAAGACTTACTGAAAAAAAAAATTAAATTTCCTACTTTTTTATGTGCAATTGGACAAAGGAAGTTTTTTGTTGCACCTGAAGTCCACTACCACCTCTTTAAATATTCCTGGTCTTTACTGAATGACCTGTATATAATGTTTATGCAACACTTAAATTCAGACAAAACTAGGTCCAAAGAAGTGACAAAGCCACACCTGCTGGCAACAGAAAAATTGAATACATTCTATTCTACTTGCAATGATTATTAGACAATAACCACTTAATTGGCTGTTTAAACATGTTAAAATTAAATGAAACTTGTCTTAATAATTGATTACTTAACATGTCTAAATGAAGCATGAGTGAAATATAATAAATAAATAAAACAAAAACTAATAGAAATTGATAAAAGATAAACAAACCTGTGGGATCGAGGGAAATAGAAGAAACATAAGAATCTGAACTCGTTGGTATATCAGCAGTCATTAATTCCCGCTCGGCATCCCATATACGAAGAAACTGACTGTTGCCACCAACAATAAACTCCTGCCTTTCTTGATCCCAGTTCATTAAATAATTTCTATTTACGCTGCTAGGAAAACTAGCTTTAACAAAAATAAATAAATAAAATAAAAATTCAAACATAGTGATAAAAACACGTTTTATTTATTACAGAAAAAAAAATATCATTTTGATTCATTTAAAAAAAAGTTAATATTTAGTAAAACTGAAACTTCTTTATTATTAAATAAATGAGTAGGACTGAAATTATGGTGTTACTGTTTTTTTTTTATATTAGTAAAGTATAGTATAAAATTTATTGTAATTACAATGATTAACAAACTATTTTGATCTTCAACAAAGAATAGACGAGAAAATATGTAAAAAACAACTCCTTTTTAACATAATAAGAAAGAATTGATTGGTTGCAGACACAACAATTTGATGTAGATAGAACAAATCGTTCTCCATTACATCTAAGAAACCACTTAGCCCTGGAACCAGGGTCCAAAAATCGACCTTATCGGAGGCGAAGGTTTGTGAATTACGAAAGTGTATGTTATTCTGAGTAAAAAAACCTTGTCTGTCGTTCCAGAGCCGCTTCTTTAAAAAATGGTGGCTAATTTAAAGAATAAGGACAGTCCAGTAATTCATTGTTGAAAATGTGTGAAAAGTTTTTATTTTTTTAACTTGTATATATGAATTTAGACATGTATGTGAATATATGGATTTAGACATGTATGTGAATATATGAATAGACATGTAAAAAGTGTTCCCCAAGGGAAAACTTTTCACAGCCAAAAAAGTCAGATTTTTTCGATACTTTTTTGTTTTATCACCTATAACTACTAAACGAAAAATGTACTCTTTAATAAATTAACGAATGTCAAATTGTAGGTCGAACAAGTAAATAAACTTTATAATTTGATTACTTGGTAATGTATAAAACCATAGTCAACCAACACTGATTTGTAACAAATTTGTCAAAAACTGAGACAAATAGCCCTGTAACTGAGAAATGAGTTCCCTAAGAAGAAAAACCCAAAGAATAAAAGTGGTAAAGCATCAAATTTTGTGTCCAGTGAGTAATGTAAGTCACTTACTTCGAACAAAATCAGTAATATCCTGATAGCTAGACATTGGTAATGAAGGTAAAAGTGATTTTTAATATTTCAACAGTATGGGTGTCTATTATACTGAGTTATATTTGTTTATACTCTGTTACATACAGTATAAGCCTCTTTTCCACCCCTCATTAGCGAAGGATTTTGATAAATGATATGACGAAAGATACCGAATTTCATAAAGGAATAACGAATCCAAAATCGAGATATATAATTGGCCTATAATAAAAATATCAGTACTCAGTGGATGCAAAATTTGATGCTCTACAACTTTGATTCTATGGGTTTTTCCTTTTAGTGAACTCATTTCCAAGTGACAGGGCCATTTATAGTAATTTGTCTCAGTTTTTGACAAATTTGGTAAATATCAGTTTTGGTTGACCGTGGTTTTATAATTTAGCACTTAACAAAATTATAAAGTTTATGCATTCGTTCAATGCACAATTTATTAAAGAATACATTTTTCGTTTAGGAGTTATAGGTGAAAAAAACAAAATAATATATAAAAAATATGACTTTTTTGGCTGTAAAAAATTTTCCCAAGGTGACCCGCATTAACAATTTTGTTGTTTACATGTTTAAACTCATATATACAAGCTAAGAAAACAAAAACTTTTCTCACATTGTTCACAATAGATTTCCTGTTTCAATCCTCAAATTACTGGTCTAATATTCTTTAAATCAGTCACCATTTTTTAAAGCAGCGGTTCTGGAACGGCAGACAAGGTTCTTTTTACTCTGCCTGCCTCCAGGACTAACTGGGACAAATTGTATTTTTAGAATTAATCACTTTTATTAATATATCAGAAGTATTTGTGATAAATAAATCTTTTAATTAATCATCAGTTTAGGACATATGAACTACCTAAGAATAAATTCAATTAAATTTGTAAATTTCTAAGAAAATAATTGTATAATTATATTGAAAAGTAGAATAGTTTAAGATTAAGATTAAAATTTGATCTATATATACTGGCCTGATTAATATATATATATATATATATATATATATATATATATATATATATATATATATATATATATATTTTAGAGGAAAAACTTTATTTTGGAACAAAATTCCCTTAGAATAACAATGATGAACAAATAAAAAAAAAATACATACATATCTTATGGTGCAGATAAGCCTCTTTACATATGAAACTATCCAAAAAGAATTCAATCATTTCATAATGGTTTTACCACAATTGTGGGCCTTTCAAATAAGGAATTGGATTTTTTAAAGGACCAAGAATGATAACAAGTATTAAGTTATCTATGAATAACTTAATACTTATACATTGTGATTTTTTTTTAATTCTTTCTTAAGATAAATATAGATACCGATCATGAATCAATTGATAAAATTTTCATTAGCACAAATGTATTATTACTATATTTTGGTCATATTTTGGAATCTATCAATGTGAAGATTCTTAAGGATTGGATTTTTTTTTTTTTTTTTTTTTTTTTTTTTTTTTTTTTTTTTTTTTTTTTTTTTTTTTTGTAGATCATGATTTTTATATGACTTACATAGGATACTATTGTTTAGCAGCTTACACATAAGGATTAAAAGTAGTGAATATAATCACCACAGTTCACTCATACGAAAGAATGCTTCAATGTGCATTATAAACAAAACATGTCTATTTTTTATAATATATACTTACAATAAGACTTTTTTGGAGCGGCTGGCCATGCAGTAACAAGATTACCATTTATAGTAGAATGTATTCTCAAAGACCCATCGTCTGAAATGGAAGCAAGGAGAGGGGTGTCATGAGGATTGACATAAGCAAGGGAGCAAATTTTTCTAACAGCAGTCCCACCTAATGGTCTTTCACCTCTCAAAACCAGTTGTTTATCATTTTGTACATAATCCCAAATCCTAAACATAAAGAAAACAAAAGTGACCAATTTTATTTCTTTTATTTTTTGTTTTACATGAACTTTGAAAATAGATCATTAGTAACAAAACTATGTTCATTTCAATTAACATAATACAAGTCTCACATTAAATTTTATATAATTGTATTTTAAACAAAATATATCGTAAATAAACTATTTAATGTTTTTATGAACTCATTCTAATCCTTTAAAGAATTATTTTAATAAATTATGACGGAAATGATCTGGGAGTCAGAGAAAAAATCAAATAATTGTTAATAATTACGCTGTTACCAAAATTATTAGTGACAAAATTATCTCAACTCAGAGGAGACAAGCAGGGTTCAAATAAAAAATTATTAATTTACAATTACTTGGAGAAAAAAAAAAAATGTTAGGATAGATAATTATAATCCTTACTACTTCTTTATTGGACGCCACACTAGTTTTTCGCTATGCTTGGATAATAGTGAAACCTTAAATTAAAAAAAAAAAACATATATCATTCTAGAAATTTAACCATTGTTAATCTATAAAAAAATCTAAATGAACATTACTGAAGGAAAAGTAAAACTGACAATAAAAGTAGTTCTAAAATAAATAAAAAACTACAATATGAGTGTAGATCCGAACTCGGGTCTTATACATATAAAAGAAACGATATAAACAGTATAAACAAAATATGTACATAAAAAACAATTTTATTTTAACTTAATTTATTTTGGTAGGGAAAATAGTTTTATGCTATTTAAAATAACGAGGAACGGGTCCTCTTCTTTGTGAGCCCGCCGCCACAAAAACTCACATAAATATGAATTGAGGTGTTATCTGGCAGTTCCTCTATGTTTTTTATTTCTCCACTTAGGTGCGCCCCATAATCGTTTTGTGTTGAGTATGGACCCCACTTGATATATCAACAAAATTATACCGATGATTCACCTGGAAATGATTATACTTTGCTTCATTGAATTGTTTTTTTGTGGTATCATTTCCAACAGTCAGAATAAATGGTGCTTCCCTCTGTTATATTGTTTTTAATAGCTTCTAATAAATTTGTTATCTTTCTGTCGTTTCCTTTGACGATAAAACACTCATCTGTTTCTCGGCAAACTCCGCCAGACATCCATTGCTCATGTAGAACTCTCCCTACATGATTTTTTCTTTTAGAAAAAAGACTCTTGTCTACTTCAATGACTTTGCCAGGTCCTCCAATTTTTTTACTTGACCTGTATAACATGTTATGGGCACAAACCTCTCTTGAAAATTTATTACACGTTAACATAGTTGGCTGGGATAGTTTCAGCTGCTCTTTCCCCCACTGTATTGTTATTAAATTATGGGACCACCCATAAATGAATTTTAAAGCCATTAAAAAAGAAATCCTCGACCTATCTAACCACGTTCCTTTCCTTATAGAAACTTTTGTTACAAATACGAAAGCATCTCCATTTTGTCTAACTCACAGCTTACACGAGGAACAAAAAATTAACAATGGAATAACTCAGGTTAGAAGAGATAAGAAGGAAGGTTATGTGATATAAGATTAGATAACAAGAGATGTTTCGACCCAACCGGCTATTTAACAAGTACCCCATTGTTTTTGTAGCTATTACCAGTTTTCTAACGTATTAACACTTACGTTATTAATATCATTCAATATTATATTAGTTATTACTTGGTCAATATATAGGTTCATCAGATTTCTACATCATATTCATTTCTTTTGTCGATTCTTATATCAGATATTTTATTTTTTGAGTCACAGGACAGGTGCACACCTAATGCATCTTAGCTGCAAACCGGATCAAAGATAATTTGATAAAAATAATTATGAGTTCGCGTCCAAGGGTGGAGGGGGCTATTAACTCTGGCATTAATCACCTGGTCTGGGAAAACCCTGTATAGCTTTAAAGGAGAGGAAGGGAAAGACTTCCCTCCTCCCTCCCCCAAAAAGTCTCATTCTTATGCTTGAAGCAGGAGATTGAATAGGTTTTACCTATATTAGCATTTTAATGAGTGCTGATGAGATTGTGTTGCTTGCTAAATAAAGAAATATACGTTTTGGCAGCTTAGTGAATAATTAGAATTTTTAGTCAGCCTTTTAAATCCAAAATTATGGTTTTAAGGAGAAGTGGAAGACTATAGGCTGCAGAAAAATAGCAATATAGGGCTTTACAAATTGATTATAGGTGAATATCTTTAAATATTTGGGTGTCAAGCGACCTTTCAATGAAATGCTGGTAAGTTCCAGCATTTCACTAGTTTACCATTTGAAAGCGGTACAATTTATCTTTCACTTGAAAATACCAAAATTTATCCTTTCATTAACTGGTTTGAATCCAATTACTATCTGGGAGACTCCTATATTAAAAATAAAACCAGTAGCAAAACAATGATTCCACTTGTAGCAGCTATTATATGATTTTTTTAAACATGTCATGGCTGGTCCAGTTGAGTTAAGAACCGTTGAAAATTTTCTGGACTATAAGTTTGCATTCATTGTTCTTTGTTGTTTAAATGATTTATGAATGAAATATAATATTGGTAAAATTATATCTTCTACCTTTTTATTAGAGTAATCAATTGTGCTTCTACATTAATCTTTTTTCTAAACAATTTTTTTTTTAATCAACAGTCACATCGCTTAGCAATTATTAAGATTTATACATATTTATAATCTAAATAGAATTTTGCAATGAAAACAATTGATTAATCCTAAATCAAATTGTCCTCAATAGCACAAAATTCAGAACATTCTAAATTCATTAAGTAACAGAAATAATCTGTCAGTAAATTTAAAGAAATTATTTGAAAACAATTCTAGACAGATTTGATGAGAAGTTTGTTGGGGTTTTAAAAGGGTTCATAGTACAAAGTAAAAAGAAATAAACTATATTTATTATAATTTCCTATGTGCTGACGTTTTGACTTACGTTTCAGCCCTTCATCAGGGCTAAGCAAAGCAAAGACGGGATAACATACAATATAAATAATGATGAATGATGTATAAAAATAGATAAATAAAAATGGAATATAAATCAAAGATGTATAAAGTAACAGTAACAAAACAGGAATTTATAAAATAGTGATAGCAAAGTTGGGATATATAAGATAATGGTAACAAAAATAGATACTTATTAAATAATCGAAAAATTAGAAGTTAAGAAATTTCAGGTAATAAAGTGATATTTAGGTGATAAACTAAACAATAATAAAATAATAGTAACAACTTAATGAATTAATAAAGCTGGAAAATTAAATATAAAAAAACAGTTTGACAAATAAAATTAAATTAATCAATGGATCATACATAAAAAATAACAGTAAAAAAGTTAGGAACTTATGAAATTCCTGATAACTTATGAAACTGTACATATCAAACTATTATGTTACATTTAATTTTTTATAGCTTTATTAATTTCATTAAGTTGTTACTATTGTTTTATCAATGTTTACTTCATTACATTTACATTATATGTTAACATATCTTTGGTTTAGCCCTGATGAAGGCCTGAAACATAGGCCAGCACAAAGGATAATAAATATAATTTATTTATTTTTACTTTGTATTTTTGACTGAAAACCCCAATAAACTTCTCTTCAATTATTTATTAAAGTCATCCATCAATCCAGATATCTAGACAGATTTGTTTTCAGTGAAAAATAAAACTAAATATGTTGAACATTACATAACAACAATCACATAGCATTTTTTATAAATACAAATAATAAACCAATCTTTGGTTATTATTAATTTTCTGCCAAGTAATCTTCAAAAAGAAAAAGAAACCAATAGAATATAAGGTTGTAAATAGTATAGTTCAAGCACATTCCAGCTAAACTCTGGCTAACATTGGCTAAAAATAATATTAGTTTAATTACCACCTGGAAGGACCAATAATTCATGATAGAGCAAATAACTTACTATGTCTGTAAAAGGTCAATAATCAAACTCTTCCTGCCCAACATAGAGTACATTAATGTATTATTTACAACAGACCTGAGCGAAAATTATTTTAAAATACATTGTTTAAACTACAAAGCATTTTGTTTTTCTAAAATACAATTTCAATCACCTAGTTATTCAATTAATACTTACTTTTAAATTACTTTATTTAATTTAATAAATATTTAAATAGTATATGGTGATTAAAATTTGCCTAAAAACACAAAATACTTGGTATTTTAAACAAAGTATTTTAAAATACTGTTTTGCCCATTCCTGACTTACAATAAATAACAATCAAATTCATTAGAACTATTTATCTGAATAGAACTAATACGGAATAATTCACTATAGCCAAACCCAAGGAGCAACTTGATCAATAATAATACATGATTTAAATTAAACTCACGTGATATTATCCTTTACAGCAATAGCAATGTGTGGATCATAAGGATGAAAAGTGACAGCTTGAGCTGGACAACTACATTTAGTAGAAAACAGCTGGGGTTCTATTCGAGAATTTGACATTTTCGAAATTTCAATTTTTGATTCTTTTCTCATTTCAGTGTTCTTCATATACCTTAAGACAAAAATAAATAATAACATTATTAGATTTACAATTTCCATCATATTTTTAAATTCCCTTTCGGTAAGATAAGATAAATATAGTAAACTTTCTCTATAGTGGACATCTAAAGGGAATTAAATTTTGTTACAATGGAGGGCCCTCAGCCCAAGATAATGGAATATAATTAAATAAAATATTTTATGTTTTAATCAACAAACTTAATCCAAGAATAATTTAAAAAAAAAAATGTTTTTGTAGGGATTAGGCCTTTATAGTCTCAAATGCGAATAGCTGTACTCAGTCTTGCACACCTAGTTTTTATTCCATGTGTACTGGATTAGATGTTCAAGACTGGGTACTGTTATACTCAAATGAAAATTGGCAAAATGTTTTACTATATGATTGTATGCCCTGATGATGGCAGCAGTGGCGAAAATTTGGATAATTTTACAATAAATTATTTTAATAATTGAGACTACAAAGGCCTAATTCCTACATATACATACAAAAAGTCTCTTTTATGCAGAATAAGTAATATAGCAATTATCTGCACTTCAAAGATTTTCGTTTAGAATGGGAATCAATCACAGGCCTAACTTATTTCATCTTGGGAAGAAAAGGAGGTCCACCTCCTGGAAGCCTGCCGGATGGAGGAAGAGCAGAGGAAAACCGTGGCCAAACATAAAGAAATGTGATCAAGCTGTGGACCCAGCTCATGAAATTATAATACTGTTTTTCTAGTAGCAGTGTGTTGTTACGCAGACACATGTAACACCTGATTGCTGCTAAAACCCGTATTGCCTATAAGGCACGATAAAGATGGCAATAAATAAATAAATAATAAGTATACAGTGGTAACATCAAGGTAACCACTAGAGGGTGGCAAAAAAAGCTACAAATTCCAATTGCTAGAGTAGTTGTTTCCCTCACCAGTAGCAATATCACATTAATTCAAATGTTTAATTATTCCTGACCCAAATAAAAGGACTAGTTTTCTAAATCAAAATGAATTTTACTGTTTTTCAAATTTTATTGAAATATAAGTAAATGTACCACATATAATTCTGCCAGTTGTGGCTGCTGTATACATATGTTGTAATTATAAACAAAACAAAGAATAAGATTACCTCCATTCACGTCGATAATATTCAGGACTTTCAACATCTATAATATTTTTCTTTAAACACATAATAGGTTGTGCAAAATAGTTACAGCTCCAATCTACAAATTGAGTAGAAACCAAAGTTTTTCTTTTTAAATCTTCTTCTTCAACGATATCTTCACTTATCTAATAAAGATGACAACAACAAGTTCTTAGAAAATAACAAAGTAACAAAATCTTAAAATTAAATGATATATTTCAAACTAATGAAGTACTCAGATAAAAACAAAGTTTTAAAACTTACAGTATTTGGAACTTGCTTCTTCGATCTTGGAGTGAGCTGAATGGATCTACTAATCAACTTATCAGTTGAACTGCTGATTCCCGGTGAAGTTGATTCGTTATTACCACTAAAATAAGGAATATAACTGTTTCACGAATTAATTATTGATATGTAAAACTTAAAAAAAAGAATATTAATTAATTAATTTTTTTAAAATGTCACATTCTCACTTCTATAACTACAGGTCTACATCAATGGTAATTCTTATTTTTTAACCAATAAATACAAAGAATGGGTCATTCTATTTGAAATTATCACAGACCTTAACATTTATGTACCAGATTTGCATGATCTTTAGTATTATATGTATGATTACACCCATACAAGAACTCTCACGTTATATATCCATGCTTCTTCTTCCTAGTATAAAGTAGGGTTAGCTACCATGTTTGTTAATACAAATGATATAATATTAACAAGAAAGTATATTCAACAAACAATAGACAAATCTACAATAACCGTCGAAGTAACATTTTACTTAAGAGGTAATCATCTTACCCCAATATTTTGATTTTTAAATATTCAACATCTGATAAGTATCCTATGGTAACTGTGGCACCTAGGATACTATCACAAGGATAAGATTAGTTTGTTTATTTGTTCATTTGGGGTTTAGTAGAGTGTATCCACTCTGAGAGAGAGAGGAAGAGGGAGTTTTGCAATGAAAAGTTATAGATGTGGTAAAGCACGGGAATAAATACAGAAAGGCTAGATTTTATAAGTTTCAATGGAATATCATAATGAAGAAGTGGAGGACCAAAAAAAAAAAAAAAAAAAAAAAAATCACTCACTTATAAGTGCTTATTTTCCTCATAATTCTGTCTGAATTAAAGCTCTTGTTAGCTTCTCTGATTTCTCTTTTATGTATAACTCTGGGTTTATAAACTTCCTCCTAATATTTTACTCTTTTAATTTAAATATAGACATTAAGGAAAATAACTATTTAAAACTGCATAGTATTATGTTTTCTTTTTCATATTTGTTATGAAAATTCTCTCCACCAAAAGACGATGCAGGAAACTTTTGCGACAATACAGAACTCTAAACGAGTATTAAGGGGAGGGTAATGAACAATTTCTGACAGGCTTCAGATTTTTTTCAGTGGATGTTTGGGTAAATTCCTAATTTTACAGAACTATTTGATAAATGGAAAGATGAAATTGATCTCTAGAGTAAATTATATAGGATCAACTATAAATTGGAATATATATAATGAAAATATCAAAGATCTAACTGAATACATTAGCGATTCATGGGAATTGAATCAACTTCAAATCAGCAGTCACAGAAAAAAATATGGCATAACAAAGCATCCTAAAGTACAAAAAATATTAAATCAAAGATTAAAAAAATTAAATTATTTACCTGAGGTATGATGATCTATTTGAAGGAGATGGGGGCAATGAACTAGCTTTGGCTTCTACTACTTCTCGAGGTGCTGTCGCTTCTTTTACCTTAAAATAATAGGAAATGCAAATGAAAATAAAAATAAAAAAATTACTGAGTTCTGGTCTTATAACTGTTTTATAAATGAAGAATTACATACATGTTTAGATTAAAGTTTATAAAAGATAAAAATTAAAACACAGAAACTGTGCAAGTAATCAATGTACTTTCGAGATGAAACAGAACTTTTCCAACAAATATATATATATATATATATATATATATATATATATATATATATATATATTTGTACAAAGTAATGATTATAGAATAAATAGTTGATGGTAGATCAAGTCAAGAAAATGGTTGGGAATGTTGACAGAAAATGAAACATACAGTAAGGTCAATGATTTTGTTTCCTGACATTTATAATTTAAATTAAAAAAAAAAATGATTTTAAATTTGTACCCAATAATGAAGATTACAACTTTAGGCATCAATTACAACTAGGAACATGACCAAAGTAATATAACTAATTCTAACAGCTTTCAATACAAATATTAACTGACAAGATAAATTTATTATTACTAATAAAAAAATTAAATATGGATATTTGACATTCAAACTTTTTAACTATTCAATGAGTACTGAATTTTTTTTAATCACTTTTTTAAAACAATCCTTTTGACAGAAATTTTCATTCTGATATATATATATATATATAAAAAAAATGAACCTTTAAAATATTTTGAAAACTAAATTTCATTCTGAGACACTGGACTTAGACAAATCTCATTTCAGTTAGACATAATTGTGGATAAAGGAATATATTTTACTTCTTTAAAAAAAGTCTATTGAAAAATTAATTTAAAAGTAAACTATTCTGAATATTAAAAAACAAAACAAATAATATTTAAAAAATCCACAATCATTTAATTTTCTGAAATCTCATCTCATTTTAACTTTTACTGCAGTACATGTCAAAAGATTTGTGATAAGCAATTAACCCAAGAAGTTTCACAAATCCCTTAAAAGTATTATAGTAGGCTAGTAAAATTATACTGAGACTGAATAAATACATTTTTACTTCAGATAATAATCTGAAACAAAAAGTAAACAATATGGTTGTAACTTTATAGTAATAAAAAACTTAAATAAAAAGAAAATTAGACTGTTCCATCATTTACATTCTACTTCACTTCAAATTCCATATGTCCCCTGGTCACTTCTAATTATATAGAGAACTTTTATTTTATGTAAAAATTAACATAAGCTATAGGGATTAGCTTTGTAGATCTTAAGAAATTAACATTTTCATCTTTAACTTGTAGTCCTAAACCAATTCATCTGTTTTTTTTCAACCTTTTACCCTAGAAGACAACATGTCTTTTATCCTCAGGGCATTAAAATGATGGACTAATAGCTTTTATACTTAGCTTTTACTAATAGCTTATTGGGGCAATGATAGGTGGAAATGTTTTTGTCGTTTCATGATTTATTGTAGCTTGTTGCTTTGTCAGCTTTACCATAGGGTGGTTGAGATGAAGGTTAAATGTCACAAACCATGGAGTTAGGGCTACCTTCTGGCTCACTGCGTGTTGATCCTTGCCTTTCAGATTTTATTTTATTTTTTTTATGCTTCAAAATACATTTGTAGGTAGTTAGAGTATCATTCTACAATCATGTTAAATGTTAGTTGCTTCAAGCAGGTTAATGGTAAAAGCACGTTTTCTCTACTTTTTCAATTCAATCAGAACTGCTATGGATCCCAATTAAAGATTTAGGAATAGTGATATCTCAGAGGAGCTTTAGAGATATACAGCAATCTAAGAAGAGGCTGCAATTGCAGAATAATGTCAGCTAGAGGTGGGCAGAACACGTCTCCATCTATAATTACTTTTCCTACAGCACATTTATCATCAGAACACACCTCGAGAATGTATTTTTATGTATTCAACCATGGCTTTCTAATGTGTAATGGCACCTCTCCAGCAGAGAACTCAAGGGTATTTATGGGAGACATTTCAAAAGCACCCAGATGGTATAGTTTAATACTATAGTTAACATATTCTCTTTCATAGTCCAGTAACCATGTACATTGTAAGTTGCATCAAATGGCTGTAGAAGGTTTCTTTTTTTCTTGTATGGGATGTGCCTGAGATGCAAAATCCAAGTTTTCGACCTCGGAGCCTCCTTCCCCCCTGGATCACTTTTGAATATCTCAAAAACTACTACATTTTCCAGTTTTTCCCCATTTTGATCAAGAAGGAGCACATTTTTGACATAAAACATACCATACATTTTTAAACTAGATTAAATATTCTACAATTTAAGATTAGTAAATTTAATAGTTTTTAAGATACAGGTTTACAATGTTTGGAAGCTTTTCCGAACCTGAAATTTTAAAGTTATTTTTTATGTTTGAACATATGCAATTGTCTTTACCTTATCAGTAACCTGATCTGTCTGGTATGAGCCAGTAAAGAAAATATTTATTCATTTCAACAGTTTGAAGAAAGAGTGATGGAGGGGGGTGAATGGTTTGGTGGGAGAGGAGATTCTTGTTCACAACCAGACGACTGATTTTTTTTTTTTTTTTTTTTTTTTCCTTCCCTTCCTATTTTCCTGGGCCAGAGGAATTATGCCAAGTTAAAAGTCGTACCCGGCTCCGGATTTGAACTGATATTTATTTTCCCATATCTAATTTCAGTTATCAGGTTGCTAGGCGACGCTCGGTGATGTAGACATGTTAGCCCACTCGGCCATCCCACTCACGATTGAAATTGAAAGGCAAAATGTATTAAGCAAACATTTGCACCAGGTATATATAAAAAGAGTAAATGAAATGTGAATTAAATGTGTTTCCCCTGATTCAAAAGACCAGCGCCAAACAAATCCACGAATCCCTTGCCTCCAGTGTCATATTCATTGTCCTGGACTTCCTTAAATGGAATATAAATATTTATTTGTGAATGTTCCCGGGTAAAACCTTGTCAAGGAGCCCTAACATAAATGCAACACACATGTTGGTACAAGTACTGGTGATCGGAACTAGTCTACAAAATTATAGAAACTAGATGCAATTGAGCCACAGGGTCCCTTTTGCCAACCTCTGAAAGCTACCTTGAGGTTGCTGCTATGTACTTACCAGCGGCGGAATGTCAAGATTCATTTCCCCAGGCTGCTGAGAAATGAATATTAACCAACCCAGATGGGAATCTAACCCACACAACATTTAGAATTGGGCAGTCTGGGATCCACATCCCAATGTGCTTGGCAATCGCGTCCTAGCACATGCTAGTAAGTATTAATTGATAGAAATAATGGTATCTATAACATGTGGATAAGTATTAATTAATATAAGTAATAGTAACATTTAACAATAAGAGTTAAAGTATACCTGGTATTATTTCTCAACTTCTTCAATAGCATCTGCAGCGAGTTAGCTGTCAGAATAGTCGAGCAGCCTATATATATTGTTATCCTTGTCATTGAGTTCGTCATGAGTGACAATGTGGCAAATCATGAGTGTTGACATCGACGTCTACCGTAATTTCAGGCCATTACAGGTTCTGAAGATAACTGAACATTTCAAACCTACTTTCCTGCAGCTGCATGTATTTCTACATTCCTTTTAACTGCAAGAAATCATGTTCAGCAGATTTGAGGGAGCTACTTTTCTCAAGACCAACTTTGAGGAAATGCCTCGGCATTTAGCAACCCATCCCCATTCAAGCGTATTCTTTTTATAACTCAGTCATTGTTGTACCTGGTGGTATATGCAAAACAAATTTAGTTTTGCAGCATTTTGCGTGGGAAGAAGTCTGGCTAGCACAGGTTGTTGAGGGTTTGACTTGAACTTTCTCCACTGTACAGTTCAATAATTTTCTCACCGGCTTCAACTACTTTGGCAAGTGTAGCAGTTGGATTAGCAGTTTTTAGTAAGATCTATATGTTTCAGCAGTACTTGAAGTAATTTGAGTTTCCTTTGGCCGAAGAAATATGAGATGGAATCACAGCCACTGAAGGCTAGGGTGAAAGGATGAGCTAATTGTTATATATTAACTGAATACAAACTAAAAATTAATATTTTGTTTTAAATCTAAAGAAAATATAAATTAATGGTAGTAATTTTTAATTTTTTTTTTCCAATTTTACAAAATTAAAACAAAAGATCACAGACTTTTAGAATTTTTTGTTCATCCCGTTCCGATAAGTAAACAGTGTCCCACTTGCGGTCTGAAAATATCTAGCCACATTAATAAGGTCTTCCCATCTCAACATTTAAGGAATTAAGTAAGATACTGATCGACCAATTTTTAAAAGTAATTTCTCACTTGTAAATTACCAACTTCCCATCCTAGGAGACTGTGATTATCAGCAGAAGAAATACTATCTAAATACCAGATTCTCACTCATAAAAACATAATTATTTTATGTCAGCTTCTCATTTTTCCTTAAAAATAAACCCTGAACAATCAAGAGATGCTTATCCAAATGTTGATATTCAAATCTTAGAACAGACTGAAGACTTTATTAGTAGTGACTTATTTGTGGGAACTTGTTTATTGATCAAGGATTAAGGTCATGATTGTATCTATCACCAGTATTCACTATACAGCAGGCATTTATCACCAATTAACACCTTTATCAACTCAATTCTAAAATAAATATTGGACTTATTTTCTTGATTGGGAGGAGGAAACATAAAAAATATATCACTTATAACATTATCCTTACCATGGAGTCAGCAGACAAGACTTGAAAGAAATCAAGAAACGGGTCATGGTAGAAAATAGAGTGTATTATGGTCTAGTAAACCTCTACAAATCACTTGTTAGACCTGTTGTTTGCTATGGCACAGAAACCTGGACACTGAAAGTTACAGACCGACACATGCTAAGTATGTCAGAAAGGAAGATCCTAAGGTGTATTTTTGGTCCAGTTTGTGTGGGGCATTAAAAATAATCAGAAGCTGGAAGACTTAAGGAGAAATAAGGTATGAAAATATAGTATGCTTCATACAATCAGAAAGAATTAGCTAGCTGAGTCATGTACAGTGAATTCAAGATGATAGAATGGCAAAGAAAATAATGAGGGAGAACGTGTCCGGGGAGAAAAAAAAGAGGAAGCCCTAGGAGACGATGACTGAATGACCTAGAAGGATTGGAATCACTGGTATTGAATCGGGATGCATGGAATCGGATTGTAGGGGAGAGCAAAGTCCACCTTGCACTGTAGTGCCGGTGAAGTAACTAAATCTTGTATCAGTAACTGAATAAGTTTTTTTTTTTTTTATATTACAGAATAGCAGCTGATATTTTACAGTATTATAGAAGTTAGCAGTTTTTAAAATTGAATATACTGATTTTGTATTCAAGGATGCCTTTTAGATATAGATGGGGTTGGTTAGACGTTTTTAGGGTAATGTAGAATCTCAGATGATTAGGAATTCTTTGAGATTTAGATGTTTGTAACAGAGGGAGAGAGAGAGATAGTTCTATACTATCTCTCTCTCTCTTGTTATTAATATATATGTTATTAATTATACACAGTTGTTATTAAATTCAATGGAGTGATCATTATTTTTGATGTTATTAAAGAAGATGCAGTGTTTCGATCAATATACCTTTGAAAATGTTCTTCAATTTAACATCTTAATAAATTAATACACAATGATTTTTGTCTACACAGTAAATCTAAAACTAAATAAAACCTTGATAATTTTTTTTTTTTTCATCTGAAAATCTCTCTAAAAATAATACAGGCATTATTATACAAATACACAGACAAAAAACAAAAAATAAAATAAATTAAATGAATAATTTGGTAAATAGAATGAAAAATAAATAATAATAATAATGCAAAGTTCATCTAACAATACATGCATGTTAGTAAGTGACATCTTACAGTGATGTGGCCGAGTGAGACAGAGACAGCCCATGAGCCATTATCCCTAGTGTGGGGTGGGCTCCAGCCACCGGGCCATGCGAAAACCTTTACACCAATCAGGATAAATATCAAAAGAAATATGCTGTTATTTTCCAAATATTACTTATTAAAGCATTCATTAAAACATAATCGTCTCATAAAAAGTAACAAAATTTAAGTACAAAATGAAACATTTACTGATGAAATAAGAGTTAAATTAAGACAAAAGAATTAAGAAATAATGAAAAAGCATGCGAGAGTTAGAACCATACCAAAATTAACAAAGTTATATATTTCATAACAATAAAGTCATATTAATAAAACAGAAGTTAGTAAAACAACTAAGTTTTGAAATTCTAAATAAAATTGATTAAAAATTGTCAATTTACTTTATATTATAGATTTTAATTAATGACTGAGATAACGAAATCAGCTATAAAAAAAAGGAAATAAATTGACTGTCATCTAAAAAATGCATTAAGATTAAATAAATAAATAAAGAACAAAACTAACAGTTGAAACACACAAATCAAAGAAGAATCTTCCAACTGTGAACAGAGCAAGAACTTATATTAATTAATTATTTATTTATTCTATTTTAATCTAGTCTTATCTTTTCATTTATATTTATAACATTGTGTTGGTATAAACCATTATGTGCATTTTAATCTTGTATTACTAGCATTCAATATTTTTTTGTTTGGAGAGGGTAACATATATTATTATAATATTTTCATAACAGATAATATTTTCATGTGGTATATTAATGACATTTCAGATGAATATGATTAGTGTTATGAAAAGGCAGGGAAAAAACAACATACATAGATAAAAATAAAATAATATAATGTAACATAACTCTATGTAGTATGGCAGAATTACGTTTTATTACTTTTTACAATATAGTATTTCTCTCTCTCTCGGACGAGTCCACGAGAGAAAGGAGAAGAGTCAGAAAATTAAGTTTTGAAACTTAGGAGCTTAATAACATTAGTAGTTTTCATTTTCATTTTCATTAGAGTACTGTGAAGCCACAAGGAAGGTAATGTGTATGGGTTGAACATACGTAGGTGCGTAAAAATTTTTGATCCAACAGCTGGACAGATTTTCATGTTTGGTGTTTATAATTATTCAATGAGATCCTTGAGTGATTTGAAACAATTTGGGCTCAAAACACTGGCACATTATTGCAGGGGTCTCTAAACTAAGGCTCGCAGTCCGGATACGGCCCGAAAAGGTTCTTTGATTACATGATAAATTTGTAAAAATTATTTAAAAATATAAACTGTAGTAAGTCACTTAAACACGAGGTTACTACAACATTTATTTCATGAATTGTTTCTATTAGAAAGCTTATATGGCAACTGAAGCATCATTTATATTAAAAACTTAATGTTTTCACCACAATCCATGGCCCACTGGAGTTATTGGAAGTCTCAATGCGGCTTGCGGGACTTAATGGAGGTCTCAATATGGCCCCCAGGCCAAAAAGTTTGGAGATCTCTGCATCATATATTATAAAATTTGTTTTATCTATCTGTTAAAAAGAATGCGAGAAACGATTTTTTGAGCAAATAGTTCGACTGATTTTTGAAGTTAGATGGTTAAAATTACTCAGGGAGATCTTGTGAATGTTTGAATACAATTTGAGCTTAATATTGTATGTATTCTCAATTTTTTGTTGGTTTCACATTATACAATGTCTAAGTTCTTGATTATATGAACTGAAAAATTAAAAAAAAATAAAAATATATATGATTTGATTTTAAAAAATGACTACAGAAATAACCCGTACCCATCCTAAACGAACATAGTTTCATATCTACTTAAACACCTTGGTAGATTTTGGAGAAAATTTACGTCAACGAATAGTTAAACTTGTAACAGGTTACAACAATTTTAAATATTCTTAGAGGTCAATTTCCTTAACAACGTGCCAGTAAAAACACACGTTAATAAAAAATTCCATATTATTATTATAACATTTAATCTTTACATAAATATGATATATTCGTAAAAAGTGTTGTTTCTAAAATTTATTTATATAATATTTATAATAACATGATCAAAAACCAGGTGTCTCACACCAGAGAATGGATATTTCCATTTTACATTTTCAAATCAATCTGTTGTTTTTTTCATGGCACTTCCATGGGTTTCATTTTAATCATGAAAAATAATATATATTGAAGTAAACATTACTTTTTTATTAGAGTAGTTTATTTTATTCATATGTCATTTAAATACATAAAAATATACTATTCTGATATTCTAAAATATTTTGATAAAAATAATGTTCATTTCAATAATGTTATTCTCAAATATTATACTACTGTATGAACTATTAAAAAAAAAAAAATTCTAAAAGAAACATATCAGCAGGCTAACAGTGTGTAACTAAAAATTTATAAGCATTCATAACTAAAAATGCAGACATATTTACCTGATCTCTTATATAATCTGTAACTATTCTAGAAAGAGAAGAAACCCCAGGATATGGGTCTGAGTCAAGAGCAATCATTCCTTCCCATAATTTTTGATAGACTGATCCAAACTGAACTCCACCCATTGCTGAAAGAAATATCACATAACAAATGAAAGAAAATTAATCTATCAAATATTCTCAATATAACTAACTAAGAATTTTAAAAAATAAATTACCTAAGCTTGATATAGAAGATGAAGAAGACACCCTCTTCATCCTATCCAAATCAACCACATCCATGGTGCTATAATTTGAAGCAGGTGAAACTGTTTTTGTTCTATCTCGAGAAACATTTTTCTTCATTGAACTTGAAGGTGAGGTCATCATCTCTGAGAAAAAAAATTCTAATTGTGCTGAATTAATAAATAATTTATCAAAAAAAGTTAAATGTGATAAATAAAAAAATTAAAGATCAAAGAAAACTATATGGTTATATCAAATATCAGCTAATGTAATAATTGGAGAGAATTTTAATATTTAAATGTAAGCATTGAAGAATGTACCTAGAAGATTAATAATTATCCTTTTAAAGATAAACAATGTCAAAATAACCAAGGCTTGAAAATTAAAATTCATCAGTAACCATCAGCCAACCAGTGCATAACTTTTTTTTTAATAAGTGTTGAAACTGTGATTCAAAATGTCTTCAAGAATTTATTTTCTTACAGACTCAAAGCTTTCATGAAAGCAGAAAAAAAAAATGATCACTAACATTGGTTAAAACCAAGGGTCATTCATTATATTTCATATGATTCAACCATATATTATATATTTTTTTAATATATATTGAAGGAAGTTAGCCGACTGTTCTATATATCATGGGTGATAAAACATATACATAGTAACTTTAGCACAAATGTTTAACAACATTAAATACTGACATTGTTTAGAACTATTATTTCATTTATTTCTGTCTATTTCATATATCTGTTGTAAAATTAAAGTGTTTTGTTATTGGAATTATGACATTTGTTTTTGTTTATAATTTCAATAATATGAATGTAATACAATAAATATGAATACGAAGATAGGAATTATCAGTGCCTTATCAGAATTATCGGTGGTAAGGTTATAAACATTGGCAGATAGCAGTCCATCCTGACCGGCTATTTAAGGAGTACCATTTAAATTTTAATAAAACTAAGATAATTTCTATTATTTTTATACAAAAACTCAGCCTAAAAAGCGAGAGCTAAGATGTCGAGGGAAGTCTTGGATAAATTCATTGAAATGGTATATCGAACAATATTTTAATATTAAATAGACATTGATTATATCAATAGTTAAATTTTCAAAACTTAAAACCACAACAGTTTTCAAAAAATTAAAAAGCTCTTAAGGAAAACTTTTATCTGTTCTAAAGGCTGAATATAATTTCATTTTTATTTGAACAAATTGGAGAGCCGTTGGAGCAAAAAAAAAAAAGAAAATTATAACATTTGTTTTATTTGGAAATTAATTCCTGAATGAATGACTAAATTTTTATTAATTAGTCATATTAACTACTAACAAATTAAAAAAAATTCATTAGTCATAAATTTTTATATGAATTAAAATGTATTCGTCATTCTGATAATTTTTGTCCATCTCTGTACTACATACACATGGAAATACGCAAGATTGAATTAACATACTATGTACTGAAAACCATTATAATTATGATCTTAATAATTATGTATATAAATGATAGAACAAGTGAACCAACCCATTATTCCAGACATTATTTTATTTCTAATAACTTTCAATATGATACAAATTATAATAGATCTAAAAATTTGGAAAGAATACAGAAAATATACATGAAAATGGAACTAAAATTTGATCCACCTTGTCACTTATGAATCTATTGAATACTCTGAATAAATATAAGTCAATTTAAAAGAAACAATAGGTAAAGTAAGGATTTCTAGGTTTTATAAATTGAGATTACTAAAAAACAAAGTGAATTAAGATATTGTTTATTTAATAAATCACTACATACCTGCTGGCATAACAACCTGTGCGCCTTCTCTCATCTCCTGAAGAGCAACCGAAAGGAATTTATTTTCAAAAGCTTTTACAATGTACTGTAAAGCAACTACTAATTCCTGGAAAAAAATCATCATCTGTTAAAGTGTGAACAACTACAACAATAATTATTCAATATTACTGCAATTCAGAAGAAATAAGAATAGATGTACTAGAAAAAAAAATCATATTCTAACATAAGAATATAGTTATATTCTTTACAATTATAGTTATATTCTTTAAAGAAGAAGTTTTGCATGTAGTTCAGTAGCCATTGATACTAAATTAAATTTAGCATCCAAAGATATTGCACTTACAAATACTGGTAGGGAAACTGTGCTAGTTGAAAGAAAAATGAAGAACAAGGCTACAATGGTGAGGCAGCACCATCAAGAACCCATTCTTTAGGGAGTACGTAATTGGAAAGGAGCTGCACAAGACCGAACCACTTGGTAAAAGGACATTGAGGAACCTGAGGTCCGTATCAGATAAGAGCAAAAGTTAATCTGAGAACCAATCACTAAGTGTTAAAAATTGAAAAGGTCTTATTTAGCTTATAACAAATTTATTTTAAGGAGAAATAATTTTTTTTTTTTATAGTTTATATGACAGTAAATAGTGGGAGCATACACGTTTTGTGATTTGGCACATGATAAAGAGACAGTATTGTAGTAATAGCAGTCAAGTGAACATCATTTATGATTGATAACTGTTCATAATGAGTTTAAAATAAACTGTAATTAATGTGTTACTGAAGGAAGTTAGTCAACTGTTCTACATATCATGAGTGATAACTATTCAGGATACAGTAATTTTAAAAGTTTTTATTGGTGCCAACATTTCAACCCAAACATGTGGGTCATCATCAGGACGTGTTCATCACCAGCCTTTCTCTCAAAACTTAACAGCATTACGAAGCTGTTTACAAATTGATTAAACACATTTTACTAATAGCTCACTATTTTCAGCTCAAATTTTTTCAAAACACTTAGAGGATCTTATCGAATAATTTGAGACATCAAACTTAAAAATTGATCATGCTGCTCGCTAAAAACAGGGTTAAAACACTTTTTGAAAATAGATAAAATACATTTTATTTAATAACTGGTCACTATTATTAGCTCTAATTGCTTCAAAACACTTAGAGGATCTCATAGAATAATTTGAGCGATCAAATTTAAAAAACGATTCAGCGGTTTGCTCAAAAAAGTTACATAGCTTTTAGCAGTCGACCCAAACACATAATCCTCGTTTCACTTTGCTTAGTCAGGTAAAATTAACTTAATTAAAGGTTGAGCCTTAATAGAGATTTCACTATTCATTCAGATCTCATTCTAAGTGCATCCTTCTTTGCGGAATTAGTATCTTTAGTAGGTTCGTTATTTTTACCAACTTCAGTATTGTTGTGGTGATGTCCTGGAATCCTATATTTGTAGAATAGTCAATAAACTTTTTAATAAATGTGGAATTTCTCCTATAAATCTTCCCATTAACCATCACCAAGTATGATCTAAACCACAATTTTTTAATTACCTCTCCTGTTTCCCAGATTTTAGGAAATACATTTGAACAAGCATCTTCTCACTTGGTTAAAAAAAAATCCTCTTTTTTGGCTGATCTATTATAATGGAGTTGTTGCAACTCTTTATCCACCATTTTCAAATCTGAAATCACTTTTAGTTTGAAGTGAACAGCACTAGTAGGGATTCTAATTCTGATATTCCTACTCATAAGTAACTGTAACCCTGAATATTCCAAACCAGCTAATGCCGCATTTTTATAATTTGATAAATATAGATTAAAATTCTGCAGCTCAAAATTACATTTTCGAAGCATCTTTTTGGCAATTCCTAAAACTTTTTAAACAAAACTGTTACTCTAAGAGTAATAAGGACTTATAGTTCTAATTTTGAAGTTCCACACTATTGCAATTTTCGTAAATTCGAAAATCCAAATCTGCAACTATAATTTTTGGGATTTAAAATCTAGCAAATATAGGTTTTAAAATCTCTATGACTGGGATTGTTGATTTGTGCTCAAGTGGTTATATCTCCAGCCATCATGATTATTAATCAACAAGAACTACAAAATATCTACCCTCATGTTTTGCAATATCCAGTCCAACTTTGAAAAATGGCAGGCTAGGTATATCATGGGGGTATAATTCTTCTTATATTTTGCATCGCTGAAAACGTTGGCGTATTGAACAGAACAAAGTATTGTTTCTAGCATCTGATACTATTATGGGCCAGTAAATTTTTTTTTTATAAATGGGTTTCATGAAACAAACTCAAGATGTATTTCCTTACACAACCAATCTTTTTTCAAAATATACCAATCCTTCGCTTACAGTAATTTCATTCTGTAACTTGGAATAATGTAGTAGATCACCATGTTCCGATTTATTAAAGTATTTTGGCCAATTACTAAGATAAAACTCCATTATCCTTGTAACACAGGATTCTTTTTGGTTTCTTCCACAGTTTTTTAAATTCCATATCTGAAAAACTAATTTTAGCTCCCACTATATGCACTACATCCAACATGGACGAGTGAATCATCCTTGGTACATTTGGGCTAGTAGTTTCGAGATAGAAGGTCAGCTATCACCATATATCGTCCAGGCAAATACTTTAACTCAAATGAATAGATTAAAAGTTCTAATCTTAAGAAGAGGGAATCGATTGCCAAGAAACTGAAGATTAATTAAATTAAATAAACTAAAGTTCAATTATGGATAGAACATAAGAATGCAAATAAGATAGAGTTGGCTAATACAATTATACCATACCTTTCGTACTAGGGGACTCATATCTGTAGAAACAGTGTTCAGAAGAGTTATAGCAATATTTTGATCAATCTTATTGGCATGCTCGCTTCTTTCCTGAACTGCATTAATGAATGTCCCTAATGCATATACTGTTCCTGCTCTCACCTGAAAGTAAATTTATAATAAATATTAATAATTTTTTTAAGGCTTGTAAAAAAATATACAGGGCTTAAATGGCTAATTTTCAATATTAGCTTCCCCTAAAGTATCTAAAAATTTTTTATTTTAAACAATTGACCATTCATTGATATTAATCTCTAGAATAAAATATGAAAGAATTTGATAATTAACTAAAGGAGACATGAGAGATCGTTGGGGAGCATAGTTGTGATAGAGGAACCAAAGGAATACGAGTGCACCCGAGTTTGCCCAAATTAGAACACGCTTCCATACATAACATGAGTTTAATATAAGGGCTCCGACAATATTATGTAAATGTACATATGAGGTTTTCATAAATGCTATTATTGGTATTATTTAATACTTAATTGTATATATTACGTTGATATAAATATTAGAATTTGTATATATAAGGGTACTCATACAAATAAAAATACACACTCAAATATAAATCAGAATAGCATTTATACTTTTTACTTTCATTTCTTCTTTTTCTGAAAATACTTCGTTTACCTAAAATACTCAGGAGATTGGTGGAGCAGAAGAGGACTAGGCTGGCTTTAGACCAGGGAGGCAAACCCAGGATCATATTTCCTCTTTAAGAATGGTTGTTGAGAAAGCATGGGATAAAGGAAGAAGACTATTTTTTGGCATTCCTGGACTTGAAGGCTGCATTTGATTTGATTCTTGACAAGAGATTTGGAATGCTCTACAGGAAGAAGGGGTGCCATCCAATCTCATAAGAGCTATCAAATCGGTATACCAGGATCTGAATCGGAGCCATTTAGGTATTATAAAGGCGTGAAGCAAGGTGATAGCATAAGCTATCACTACTACTACTCATTATGATGAAAAGATGATGCATATGCATGGATGAAATATGGAAGGTTTGTAAGCGAAGGACACCCAGAGCAACAGTGGGGTACTGGAATTTAATTCCTGTGCAGGTACAAACTCTCCTTTATGCAGATGATGTGGTCCTGATTGCTGACACCCTAGCTTCAGATGGCTGTCAATGAATGGTCAGAAGAACTCCAGAGGAAGGGAATGGAAATAAACCCTACAAAAAGTAAGGTGATGCTCGTCAGCCGAGGTGTGGAAGAGCAAGTTCTCATAAAATGTAATAATGAGCCATTAGAAAAGGTAGATAACTACCAGTACTTGGTATTTTCAGCAGATATGGAAGGATCGACCAGCAGCTTTTAAATAGAGTCAAGAAGGCCAATGGTGTGTTTTACTCTATTTGCACTACAATATTAGGGAAACGGAAGGTAAAAAAGAAAACAAAAATAGCTTTGTTTGTTAAAAAAGTATTTCTGCCTGTCCTTTTGTATGGTGCAGAGAGTTGGACGGTCTTGGATAAACATGGACAAACATGCAAATAAAGTAACAGTCATAGAAATGAGATACCTCAGGAGAGTTCTTGGAAAAACATGAAGAGACCGCTGGAGAAATGAGAGGATAAGAGACAAATTGAACATAAGGCCAGTAAAACAAGCCATGGAGAAGCGCCAACTGAAGTGGTTTGTCCATGTGTACTGGATGGGTCAGAGGTAGCACCATGGTGGATATGAGAAGGAGGACCAGTGACAGAGATCAGGCTGTTCTTTTACGCTGATGGCACTAAGGAGGTGGAAACTGGAAATCACCTGTGTGATTTAGAAACTCAACATAGGTGAGCAGCCGTACAATATTATTGTAGTTTTCCCTCATGTTCAAAAACAATCATTATGCAATTTATTTTATTGTTTCTATAAATTTACATAACAAATAAAAATTGGTATAATTTTTGCCAGTTGCATACCACACACAACATGGAATTCTGCACTATTGCAATACTTTCCATTACTATACATTTCATACATAGTTAAGTAAAAGTAAGAATCATCAAAGCTAATAAAAATGTATTCAATAATAAAAAAAATAAAGAGTTGGAAAAAAGTTGTATCAACTTACTTCAGGGACAGGATCCTTAAGCAAAGCATACAACTTTTCATGGGCAGTATCACGAACCCCTGTCCAACGAGCTTTATCATAATTAGCCCAAAGGTTGGCAAGTGCTATTGCCAACCATTGTCTCAATAAAGGTGATGGGTCATTGAGCTGTTCAAGGCAAATAGAGACCAGTGAACCTTGAAGAGCCGCCTCTTGCCCACACGGATGATCATGTACCATTCTGCTCAAAACGAATACAGATAACATCCGTTCTTCACTCTAAAATACAAATAAAATAAATTTTAAATTCTAAAAACATAAAAAGTTGCAAATTTTCTTCATGCATAATTGCAAAGATAATTAGTGTTAAAGAAAATAGGTGGGGACAGAGCTGTCACGAGAGCGGAGACACAGCTACATCATGGTCAGTCAGTGACTAGCCCATACTGTTGTATAAGCTAACTAATAACTAATATTAGTATAAGCTAATAAGTATTATATCTTATACTTATTAGCTTATACTAGTGCTTCCAGCTTCATAACTTCCATCCAAAATATATCTTTCCATTTTTCTCTCGTCAGGCATTTATAAATGGATATTAACAAAGTAGAGCTGAGATACACTTTGATAGCATTATGTTTGACAGTCGTATATTACACTGGTCTAAGGCTTCACCCCCAGGTTCCACCACAACTCTGTGACGCACTTTCATTTCAAGTTTAGCTAAATATGAACAGTTTTTTTTTATTATTATTTAAAAAGTTCTATCTCATAGTATAATTAGTATTACTAGAGTGGATGACTTCACATTTATTTATTTTATTTTTTTAGGGGAGGCCTACAGGTATAATAATTGTAAGAACAGACTATAAAAAAATAATAATCTCAATCTCATATATGTTCCATATCACTTCAATTCTATTGCAACTCAAATGTACGCCATTTTTACTTTCACTTACGTATATATGAAATATATAGTAAGGCTAAGTATTGCGATCGTGGAAATTTTTGAATCTGAGTTTGGTTGTAAATAATTAATCATCTCACATTATTAAAAGCTACAAAAAAATGGTAAATATAACTTTTGAAAGAATTTGATAATTGAATAAAGGAGAAAAAAACCAAAAATGCTTATCCAGGTGGAAAATGAATCTCTGGAAATACAAGTCAGAAAATATAAGTATAATATATCATTGGAAAGCAGAGAATTTTAGAAAAAACAATATCCAACATAGAAAGTTGTAAAAGGTAACGGAGCACTGTGAAAAAATTATATATTATAATTTTTTAAAACTAATCATTATATAAATAGGAAAATACAAAACGGTTAAGCCCCTTTTACTCCTCCATTATTCAACCGATTTTCTTCCTTCTTTTTTTGTTTAATAGATATTGACGAGCTTTAATGCTACCAATAAATAAAAATATTAAATAGTATGTAAACAAAAATATAAATGGTTGTTTGTTCAAATGGCTTATCTCTGAAAGTTCTTCACCGATTTCTTTTAAATTTTGACACAACGTCGCAATAATATTTAGAAGTTTTTTTGTATACGTTTTATTATCATCGGGTCTATCCATTCGAAATGGCGGCCGAAAAACGTGATTCACCATTTACCATCCCTTTTCATTCTTATTCATCCCTTCTTTTCATTGAAGTATGTTATGTAGATAAATTTAAAGGGTGTCGAGAAAATGACTTAAGCGAAGTTTCATTGAAATCGGTACATTCGTTTAGGCGCTAAAGTCTATAACAACACAGGTTTTTCTGCATTATTATTTATTTTTTTCTCTATTAATCTATCAAATTCTTTCAAAAGTTATATGTAGCATTTTTTCGTAACTCTGAATAATGCGAAATGATTAACTTTTTAAAATAAACCATATTAAAGGTACTTTAGAGGAAGACATATATGAACATTGGGTATTTAAGCCCTGTAAAGTGACATCAACGGGGATAGACCTAATTGATATTAAAGACCACTTAATTATACAATGATACGCTGAGTTTAATCAAAATCGTTAAAGCCATTTTCGAGAAAATTGTAAAAATGTGTTTCAGAGTTTATATAAAGTGGCACTTCGGATTAGCCGATTTTAACGGAAAAAGTTACTGTCACATCCGGCCCATATACAAACCTTAAATACTTAACATCAGTTTCGTACTACTTTTTGTTTATGAGCTAGACTGTTAACACAGACACAGACACACACACACACACACACACAGAGATCATTTTGCGATACTTGGTTAGGTTATTTATACTCAGAAGACCTCAAAACATGTATTTCTGTTGAAAACTGAGATTCGCAAATTTTCATGATCGCAATACTTACACTTACTATATATTACATATATAAGTAAGTGAAAGTAAAAAATAAATGATTGATATTCACTTCAAAAATTTAATTTAAGATTTGTATGTCCTTGTATCCTTTTTGATTTCTGACAATTCTCCAAGGAGTTTAAAAAAAAAAAAAGATGGCCTTATGGCCTTCTAATATAGAACTATAAGTAGAGTGCCAATGGGTAGTTTCCATTCAAGTTGTACATGTCATATTACAATTTAAGATTTACTAGTATTTTTACTTTCACTTACCTATATAAGTAATATATAGTAAGGGAAAGCATTGCGATCATAAAATTTTTTGAATCTGAGTTTTCAAAAGATATCGCAGAATGAACAGAGTGAGTGTGTTTTACAGGGGTTAAATTCCCAATGTTCAACATTTCTTCCTATTATAAATTACCTTTACTTTAATTTGTTTTACTTTAAATAATTAACTATCTTTCATTGTTAAGAGTTATGAAAAAAATGTTAATATAACTTTTGAAAGAATTTGATAATTGAAAAATTGAGAAAAAAGGGAAAATGTTTTTTTTGGTCAAAATAATATCTGGAAGGAGGTATACATATAATATTCTGTTGGAAAGTAGAAAATTAAAAAAAAAAAAAAAATATATATCTAATACAGAAAGTTGTAGAGGGTAATGGAGAGTGACAAAAAATTATAAATAATAATTTGTAAAAACTAATATTATTTAACGAAAATCACGTTTCCAAGGAAATTAAATGAAATTTACTAACTAAATGTAAACTTAAAAAAAAAATTGTTCACATTTGAAAAAGTATTTAAATTGGTATAATATTTAAATCGACCTAATCAAGGTAATGTCATTGTTAAAAAAACTATTTCATTGTACTTGTGTGAAAGAAGAAATGAAATATAAAAATATTTCATGGATGTATAAAGCATATGCTTATAACCTTGAATACATTTACTGTGGTTTAATAATTCTAGATCTGATATTATATTTAAATAATTAAGTATCAAATTCTGTTTAATCCGCAAAATTGTCATGTAACCTTTTAGAAAATCAAATTAATGAATAATCTCTGATGAATTTTCTCTAGGTAAAATCCCAACATTATCCACTAACAATTAGTGGCTTACAATCCATTCATAGGTTGAATATACAGATATACTTTCAAATCTCTCTAGGTATATATATATATACTAATACAGTTGTAAATTTTAATAAATAGATAGATAGATAGATAGATAGAAAAAAAAACTTTATTCTGGGACTAAGTCCCTTCAGAATAACAATAATGTACAAAATAATAGAATATTACTGGCCTGAACGTTGAAACAATAAATAAAATTGATAAAATAAAATAAAAAGTAAAGAAAACCTTAGGTGCACAAGCTATATACAAATAGATAAAACTATGTACAGACCATTTAAAATTATGAACAAAACAATTAAAACTATGAACGAATCACTTGAACTATGAACAAAATTATATTTAAGACTTGAACAACATAAACATACACTTTGAGAAATGAAGAACGAAAAAGAGATACAATGAGTTCATTTCATAAAAAAAAAAAAAACTTTATATATATAAAAATAAACAGTTACTTATAATTGAATAAAAAAAAAAATAAAGAAAATGTATGTATTGAAATTCCTACGTCGATAGTAGGAAATGCATGTACTATCTCTTACCATGTGTTATGATTATATGATTGCTACACAATACATATATAATATCAATAGTTAGCTGGTATCAGACTGTTTTTGGAACAGGAATTGCAATAGGAGGTTTTTGAATGTATACAGGGAAGGGGCATGTCGAATTTTGATCGGGAGGGAATTCCAAAAGTTGACAGAGCGGGCTATAAAGGAATTTTGGAATGAGGCAGATCTATGAGAAGGGATGTATAGGTCAGAGGGTCGGGATCTTGTAGTGAGTGAATGGATTGAGGACTTAAATTGGAGAAGGTTGTAGGCATAAGAAGGACGATGGTCGGTAATGATTTGATAAAGGAAAGTGCCAAGGAAATATTGTCTTCTTAAGGAGGGGAAGAGCCACTTATAAATATATATTATATATATATTTATATAATATATATTTATTATAAATATATAATAAAAAAAAAAAAAGATTTGTATGCAATGTACTTACTGGCATTGATGTGTCTTGTAATATTGAGAGAAAATATTTATGACCATTATCTCTCACTAAGTCTGTTTGACAAGTCTAAAAACAATAAAAAAAAAAAAAAATACTTTACTGGATTAAATGATTGCAATGTAAAGAAGAAATTCACTATTTCTAGTTATACTTACACTGTCAACAGCCAAAATTTTCGCCCAGATGAATACAAGAAGAGGGCGTAATTCTTTAGCTGATGACTGAAGAAGTTTGAGAACATACGGAAAAATACCTACAGATAAAGCCAAGTTCACGGCCCATGGCCCAAGATCAAGAAATTTTCCCAGTAACTCAAGAGCTCGTAGTCTATGAACCTGGCTAAGAAGAACCTAGAATATAATGTAAAATATAGTCAATAATATACTAACTAAAAATATTTTTTAATGATATCTACATTAATATTTAACATGCACGTATTTTTTTGTTATACAACACTTAATTCAACAACAAAAAAACATGATAATTGTTTGAGTTATCAATTTAAAAAATGATTTTCTATCTCTACTCCTCCTCTCCCCAATACAAAAAAATGTACCAGTAATTCTCTCTTCTTATTCACTTGAGCCTGTATAGTATTCTAGAAAAATGAAACACAGCATTAGCCACACTGCTGGAGAAGACCGAAAACATTTTCATGTTCTGTATCTTATATATAAAGAAAAAAATTAATTACCAGGCAATCCAGCTATGATCTATGGTTGAATTGCAGAGAATGTACACAAATATACTGTCTTTTAATGATTCACTTACGGCTTGAGGCAAAATCACATTCAATGTAGCCGGCTGCAGGGATTGGGTGTAGTATCTTAATTTCTTTTTAGGTTCCTCAAAAGAATAACGATAATAATATAAAATTTTTCTTTTACAATATAAATTTATTCAGAAAAAGGCAAAGATGATAAATCTGTATAGAATCTATTAAGAACCCTCAACTCTGCCTGTGAGAGTCATTTTGCAGGAATCACAGCCGGTCCCAAGCCCAGATAAAAGAGAAGGGTTGTGCGAAGGGGCTAACAAGCCTCGGATTATGGACTGATCAACGGCAAAGACCTGGCAAACATCAAATGGACACATCTCAAATTTATAAAATAGTAACATGAAATGTGAGGACACTCTTTAGACATGGGGTGCCTTTGATGAACTAAGATGGTTAGGAGTGGGCATGCTCAAGAAGAAAGATTACATGTTATACTACAGTGTGAGTAAAGATCGGCATTAGCTACAGTAGTACGGTAATGAGCTTTGAAATTATAAACAACCGTATCTGTAAAATAAGACTGAGTGGGAGCCTGTTTAACATAACTATCGTTAATGTACATGTACCATCAGAAAATAAAGGAAGATTTTTACGCAAAGTTGGAGAGGGTCTATGTCTCCTGTCCCCATTACGATATCAAGATCATAGTGGGCGATTTTAAAGCTAAAATCAGGAAGGAAGAGGTCTATAAGCCAATAATAGGAAGGCATAGCCTACACGACACCACTAATGATAACGGGAAAGATTAGTCCAGTTCACAGCTTCCAAGATATCTATAATAAAGAGCACTATATTCCCACATAAGAATATTCATAAACAGATGGCAAACGCCTGATGGGAGAAATGAAAATCAAATAGACCATATCTGTATAGATAATAGACATCACAGTTGTACAAAGGATGTCAAAAGCTACAGGGGACCTTGCATTGATTCAGATCATTACCCCGTAGTAATGAAATTTAAAATGAGAATAAGGACATTAAAAAAATCTCACTATCCAACTAAGACAAAGTGGGATACAGAAAAGCTAAAGAAGGAAGAAACGACAGTTCAGTTTAGGGGAAATATAGACAGGAAAATGCATTAGTATCACCTGAGATGGATGAAGGTTCTACTATTGATGACAAGTGGAACAAACTGGAGGAGATAATCTCAACTGCAGCTGCAGAAACGTTTGGAAACATTGAACCTAGAAGAAGAAATGGGTGGTTCGACAAGGAATGCAAGGAAGCCATTGAAAAAAGGAATGCCGTCCAACACAAATGCTTGCAATGACAAACAAGGCAGCAGAAAGTGGAATACCATGAAGAAAGGCGACAGGCAAAATAGATAATAAAGAAGAAGAGAAAACAGCATTGGAGGAGCAGTTAAAGAACATTGAGGAGATGGCCAGTGGGAATGAAAGCAGAAAGTTTTAGAGGAAGATAGGAGCCATTAAGAAAAGTTATGTGCCTGTTAGTAATTGGGTAAAGAGCAAAGAAGACTGATTGCTTAATTCAAATAAAGAGGTGCTGCAGAGATGGGAGGAGCACTTTCAAGAGTTACTGATTGACAACCAAGGAAATGTCAATGGAGCGCCAGTGATCCCACATACTGAAACAGAACAGGGGTGGGAAGAAGAAATACCCCCAACATTGGAAGAAATGGAAGACGTGATACGTAAATTAAGAAGCAACAAATCATCAGGCATGGACAATAGAAATGCCGAGCTCTTCATACTCGTGGGTACCGACATCAGAAGAGAGCTGCATAGACTCATAGAAAGGAATTGAGAGGAAGAATGCATGCCCAAAAAATGAAATTGTGGAATAATCTCAGTGGTTCTCAAGAAGGGAGACTTGACAGAATGCAGCAACTAGAGGTATCACATTGCTTAATGTTGCAAGTAAAATTTTTGCAGCATTATTATACAATCGAATTGTACCATGTTATAAAAGGGCGATTGGCGAATACCAGTGCGGTTTTCAAAGGAATACGTCAACCATTGACCAAATCTTCACACTCAGGCAGATTAGTGAAAAGATGTGGGAGTATAATATGGTTACATGGCGATTGTTTGTAGATTTCAGAGCGGCATATGACAAGACCTATAGATCTGTGGTTTATAAGGCTTTGGAAGAAGCAGAGGTCCCTCCTAAACTAACAGTTTTAACAGAAATGACAATGAGGCACATCAACAGTCGAGTAAGAGTGAACAGAGAACTGTCAAAGTCCTTGAAAATAACGAATGGATTGAGACGAGGAGATGCATTGGGTCCCTTGCTATTCAACTTAGTTCTCAATAAAGTTATCAAGGAGTTAAAGATTGGGGCTAATAATGCAATCATCAATAAATCACTGCAATTAATGGCCTATGCAGATGATGTAGTGATTTTGGGAAGAAGCAGGCAATCAATCGAAGAGGCATACGCTAACTTGAAAAAGGAGACAGGCAAAGCTGGCCTTGAAATAAATGTCAGCAAAACCAAATTGATGATTGTAGAGAGAATGAAGCAGCAACACCCATTGTATTATAACTTAGATGGGGAAAACATTGAAATATTGTCGATGTTTCTGTACCTGGGATCATCAATGACTAACAAAACCAATGAAACAGAAGAGGTCAAAAGAAGGATTTTGGCAGGAAACAGGACATACAATGCTGTTTGGCATATAATAACAAATAACCTAGTCTCACGCCAAAATAAGATCCGGATATACAAAACCCTCATCAGGCCGGTGGTTAGTTATGGCGGGGAAAGCTGAGTAATGCACAAGATAACCTGTGACAGGCTTGATAAGTTCGAGAGGAGAGTGCTGCGAGGAATGTTGGTGGAGAGCTTGAGAACAGAGTGTGGTGAAGCAGGAAGAACAAAGAAGTATACGACATCTACAATGATCTGTTTTTATCAAATTTCATACGAATAAGCAGGCTGAAATAGCTTGGCCATGTCAACCGAATGAATGAAGACAGACAGGTGAAGAAAGTATACAAAGGGAAGATCTTCGAAACTAGAGCAAAGGGTGGGCTTGATGCAGGGAGAAGGTGGAAGAGGACATGAGACAGGCGGGCATCTGTGTGGTGAAGACAGAGCTCTGTGGCAGCAGATGTTGAAGCAGACCAAGGACCACTTCGGTCTGTAGCGCCAAGAGAAGAAGAACCCCCATCCGAAAAAGTTAGGTTTTGCATGAGGACAGGCAAATGAGATTTGTAGTGTGTGACATCTCAATCTGGTTCAGTTGTCCAGATTCCATTCTTCACAGAGGAGGTAACCTACCTACAGGTAACTCTGAATTTGGTCTCTCTTATTATGCACAGTGGTGCCAAGACGGAAAAACCTTCTTCTTCTTCTTTGTTTGGTGTTCCAACGTGGGATACCTCTTCAGGTCAGAGCAGAGCTCCACACATCTCTATCCTCCCAGTCACCCTCCTGTAGACCTCGGCCGGCCATCTCTTCTCAGACTCCTTCCATCCACGTGGTTCTCGGTCGTCCTCGCCTACGCTTTCCGGGTGGCTGCCAGTCCAGGACTCTATTCGGCCAATGCTCTTCCGACATTCTCCTGCAGTGCCCATAAAACCTCAATTGCCGTTTCTCGATCCTCTCAGAGACGGTCTCCTCTACACCTATTCTCTGTCTCACCACTTCATTTCGGACTCTGTCCAGGCTCGTTAACTGTAGACACCTTCTCCAAAAATCCATTTCTACAGTCCGAATTTTGATATACAAGCCAGCATTCATCGACCATGCCTCACATCCGTAGGTTAATATGGAGTCGAGAATAGCCGTAAAGATACGCCGCCTGTTCGCGTTTGAAATAGTGTCGTTCCAGAGAACAGGATGCAGCATTCTAGTAGCTTTTCTTGCCATCTCTACCTTGTTTCGGACATCCACTTCGGACGTTCCAACATCGTCCAGATAGGACCCGAGGTATTTAAATGCCTTTACTGTTCTACATACTTGTTCACCTATGCGTAGGTCGTCTTCCTCATCTACCAGTGCCATATACTCAGTCTTTTGGAAGTTAATCCTGAGATCTGCCTCTTCATAAGCTTTCTTTAATTGTACAACCACCATCTCCAGGAAAACTTTCTTCCGGGCCATCACTACTTGATTGTCTGCGAAGAACAGGGTAAGGAGCTCGTCGTCGTCAAAGTACACTCTGTAGTCTCAACTTCGTCTCATCCATTGCTTCACTACCTCATCCAAGTATATCTTGAAAATGCTTGGAGACATACAACACCCCTGCTTCAGCCCTTTGGTTCCAGAAAACGGTTCCGAGAGGCGGTTCCCAATCTTCACTCTGTACAGATCGCTTCTATACAAGTGTTGAATTGCTTGTACTCTGGATTCATTAATACCTGCTCTTCTCAGTGCTGGTCATATTCTTTCCCTAAGGACACTCTCATATGCCTGTTCCAGATCAATGAAGACTAAATGAAGTTCCCTATTCTTCGCCCTGCATTTCTCAATGAGCTGCCAGAGTACAAAAATATTGTCCATACAGGATCACCCGGCAGTGAAACCAGTTTGTTCCACCGGTGTGGTGTACTCTCCTTCCAGCTTATAACGGACAAGTCTCCCAACAATCCTACTGACTGAGCTCTGTACACAGATGCCGCAATAATTCTGGCATTGTTTCCTATCTCCTTTTTAAAGATAGAGCAGAGGTATCCTGTTCGGAGATCATCAGGTAGATCACACCCTTTCAGGACCATGTTCGTCACATTGGTAAGGAGTGTAAGCATCTTATCTCCACCGGCCTTTAAAAGTTCCATATACAAGCCCCCTGGTCCCGGAGCTGTTCCGCTTTTAGCTCTGCTTATAGCAGCCCTCACTTCTTCTTCTGTTACTTGCATATGGTCCGGCTTGCAGTCTTCCTGTGCGTTGCCCTCTAGTGCCATAAACTTTGCTCTACTTTCGTAGAGTTTAGTAAATTTAGCTTTAAGGCTTTCGGAAAAACCTTAAAATGAAAGTATTCCAATTACGCTTTTGGTGGTTTGTTTTCTATAACTATATCAACAGCTTTGAAGATTCTTTATCTATTTAATATGCAATAAGGGATTCTGTGTTGAGAACTGGTAGGGATCAGCTGTGTTTTATTCTGTGTTATAAAATTTAGTTTATTTTTCTCAGTAAAGTATTATGAAAGTTCTGGAAACACCTGATATATACATTTTTTTTTTTTTTTTTAAGGGAGACCCTTTATATCAAATGAGCTCTGTGTTTAAATTGAGTTAGAATTTGTGAAGTCCCTTTTAAGAGTACTATTTTTACACTTTTTTGACAAAGACTCAAAATTTGTGAATTGAGAGATAGAGTGTTATGAGAAAAGTTTCTCCTAAACTCTCAACTTTTTTCCAGTACCCTCCCTATTTAAATTATGTTCAGAAATAAATCATGAAAAATAAATTCAGCAGTTCAAATGATTTAAAAATTCTATTTAATTTAGTAACAGAGTTGAAAAACCATTATCTTTTTTTCAATTAGCTCCACATATTAATCTGCCTGCTCCTGTAAATGAACTGTTGACGATCAACATCTGGCAAAAAAAATAAATAATGAAACTGATACATGTATCAAGCATGGCTAAGAATAGCTCTCTGCAGTGTCCCTTCTCTGGCTTAATTCAATTACCATACTTTATTAGGGAAGGAAGTCTCTCATCCAATGTCATTATAGTCTTCTCCTCCTATTCATAGGCATGTCAGCTGAATCCATATCTCTTATTAGTAGTTTGGCCTTATCTGATGGTCAACAGTTGGCAGGTAAGTCAATATGTAGGGTTTTGTTAGTTAAACACTAAGGTGCTTTAGTAATGAATCAATATTTTTTATTCAAAAGTTAGAAATTTTTGTAAGTGGGTCTTTTTAGCTGTATTGTCTCTCTGTGAGGAATATGTTCATTTAGGTTTAACTAAGTATTTAATTTCTGTCTCAATTCTAGTTTTTAAGATTTGAAAAAAGTGAGTAAAGACTTCTACTGAAGATAATCCAAACAGTTCTGAGGGTGGCATCAGCTCTGCAAATCGTGAACAAGAAATGGTCTATTCCTACTAATAGGTACATTTTAAATTTAGAATTATACATATATTTTTCTCAACCGCTATCTGGGAAGTGATTTCCAGTTCTTCTCTCTTCCCTGGATCCACATTTGACTTGCCTGGCAATTGCCCTTACTCATCTACTACTGGCCGATGAATGTTCTTTGAGTCCAGTACACCTCTTTAGATCCATAGCTAGGACGTTTTTTGACTTAATTTCAGTGGCTACTTATACATTAGTCACATTATGTGAATAAAATCATAGTTATTTGTTATATTATCATTCAAAAACATTCATTAAATTAAAAAGATTGGAATGATTAGCCTACATTTGGTAATCCAATTTTCAAGTGTGGCATATTTTACTCCTGATCTATACTAATTTTTATGCTGAATAAAAATCCAGAAAGTAAAATTCAAAGCGTTCAACTTAGGGCAACCAAGTAGACCATATACCATTTGTGTTTTCTTAGCACATTATCCTCAATTGAACTAATTGAGATAAAACTATAATTTCAACTGGTTAGATGACAACTATTCATGAAAATCCTTCAACTGAATAACCACAATAAATGGTATTGTTTTTAAAGCATGTACAGTGGAAAAGTTTCTATTTTCTAAAAAATTCAGTTTAGATAACCTACACCCAATTTTTTGAAATTTAAACATAATTACACTCATTCAAGCCATTTATTAGCTTGTCATTGGCTTAAAAAATATGTTTATATATACTATTTCCTCCAATAAAAACAAAAATGTTGACATACTTGAAGAACAATAGGTAGTTGTTCAGGTGGGCTTCTTTGCTCTGAACCATGAGCTAACCAGACTGAAAAGGCTGTCAATTGTTCTTCAAAAAAGGGAGAGTGTTTAAATGTATCACCACTCTTTTCTAAAACCTAAACAAATTTTTTTAAAAGTAAAATATAAGCCAAACATATATAATAATAAGCAATAATGTGTATACCAATAAATCATGAAAACAAATAAGTAGATATTTCATATACCTCTGGCAGTTGAGCCAAGCAGAGATCAAGAGCAAGATCCCAAGCATCCCACATAGCATGCTGAAAAGTAGGAGGAAGAGGAGGTGAAGAAAGTGGAGTACAGTCATATGACCTTAAAATACGCTCAGCTAACAAATAGTTTCTGAAGAGAGATGCCACCAGAAGATCTTGACGAAACAGCTTTTGAAATAAATCTAAAAAATAAAAAAAAATTTTTAATTTATTTATTTATATGATATTTACAACTGTATACAAAAAATACATCTGGTAAATTCGCACATGGATATAATGACATGGAACACATGTTGAGAAACTACCCATTGGTAGCACTCTAATAATATGTCTATATTAGAAGATCACGTGGCCATCTTCTTTTCAGACACCTTGGAGGGTTATCAGGAATCGAATAGGAAGCGAGGTTAGAGACAAGAGGGTTGGGATGGTTATGAAATAAAAAAAAAAAAAATAAAATAAAAGAATATAATATGCATAAAATAATTACTCATAGAATATTATAATAAATTCATTCTCCCTCTCAATCTCACTTTAAGTCCCCCAAAATAAGTTGCAAGTGCCAAGGTTTATCTTTCTTTTCATACACATTCAGCATTTGGGCCAAATAGAGATCAAGAGCAACATCCAAAGCATCCCACATCCACATGGTATGCTGGAAAGTAGGAGGAAGTTGTGGTGAAGAAAGTGGAGTACAATCTTATGACCTAGTGGAGTATAGTTATTCAGTTGAGGGCGGGGTGGCCGAATGGGCTAACGCGTGTGCACTGCACCGCCGTTGCCCGGCAACCGGATATATGATTCTATGATATGAAAATAGTCACGAGTTCGCGTCCCGGTCCCAGAGGGGATTTTAAATTCCCCGCCCTCACCAACTGGTCCGGGAAAATCCTGTATAGCCTAAAAGGCGAGGTAGGGAAGAACAGGAAAAAAAAAAAAAAAAAAAAAAAAATAGTCATTCAGTATGCATCAAAAGCAAAATAAAAATTATGAATTTAAGGTTGATATATTGTGGGGTAATGGTTGACTGTTGTGAATAATGAAAAGAAGAATGGTTGGGGTGATCAGTCAGAAATAAGAAGGCAAAAATAAATAATAACATTTATTTTAACATTTCCCGAAGTTTCAACCTGAAGTTCAGGCCTTCATCAGGGCTAAGAAAAGACCCAGATAACAAGGTATGAGAAAACATAAATAATGTAGGTAAAAAAATTCCGAGGAACTATCCGGGTCTTGCTGTACGCATCAAAATCTTCAAGATCCAATTTGTCCCGTATCGATCTACAGACCTACCACTGTTCCAGTATTGAAGCCTAGCAAAATGTTTGTATCGACTTTATTTATTTTAGAAAGAAAAACAAAAGTGGAGAATACGATTCGCTAACCCCCCGTGAAATTCTGAATCCAACGGTACTCCATTCATGGTATTTGAGCATGACAGGAGCTTATATTGTAAACCGATTTCGAGTCTTACTGTAATAATATATGTGGGGAGAAGGGGATATGGGACAAGGTTAGAAATAATGAATGAATTAAAAATACGAGAAGTGACGTTGCCATGGTAAGTGTATGTTTTTTGAACAGACATGAGCCCCTTTTCCGCCGTATCATACGATTTACATGTCCAGTGTAACCACGGCCTTAGACTGCTGGCTGGACCCAAGACCCTTTATGGGTTGTAGTAGTACAAGTTTTATTTTTATATATATATATATATATATTTTCACCTAATAAAACTAGCTCAAAACAAGGTTGTTTTGTGAACATGTAATTTTGCACCGGAACGCCGCCTTGCAGTAAGTTGTAAAAATAGAGATCTAAAAGAATCAAGTGGTGTAAGCTTAGAACCTCTCTCACCACACTTCTGGCCAAGCAGTTGAATTGAGAGGACCTAAGAATACTAGACTGCAGAAGGGCGTCCCTTCAAATGTCAAGTAAGAGTTATATATGCAGGCATAAAAGGGTGAGTTGCTTTTCATAAATCATATAACCTACCAATTCAATGAAAATACAGTCCACAGAAAAATAATGTCGAATGATGCCTAAGTTGAACTCCTTAGAGTTATTTGCCTTTTTTGTATTAAAGTAGAAAGTTGCCTAAACAAAGAAAGGGTTGCAAAAGGTGCAGTAATTTTGATTTTCAGATATCTTGTATAAATTGGTTCCCTCATAAAAAAAATTAAGTTTTCAATCTCACAGAACTAACTTGTGCCTTCAGCAATCAAAATTTAATTTTGAATTTTTATTTTTAACATTTTTGAAGATGGCACCGGCTGAGGGTACTGAGGGACATAAGGCTATTAATGATAAAACAGAAAGGCTTTTTTTTAGAATTCAGACTACATTCGATTTGATTAGTGGTCTTTATGCTAGAAAGGAAATTTTTAAGGCTAGGGCTTCAGAAATTAAATCACACCAGGAGAAATTTGAAGCAGTGTGGAACAAAATTTCGGTGCTACATGAATTGTTAGAGAAGGAGCATAAGATGGATTGATGTGAAGTCCCCTTCTTTAGCAGCAGAGGAGCTTTATTATTAGATAAAGGTTGGTCATGATAGATTAATTAAAGTTAAGTAAGTAATAATTCCCACTTCTCAACCCAGCATGTCTGAACCAATAGCACATCCTAAAAGATATAGATTCCTCAATTTTCTGGACAATATGAACAATTATCTTGGTTTAAATCATTATTTGATGCCTTAATTCATAACCGAAAGTAGATGGGTATAGTCAAATTTTGTTATCTCAAGTCTCTTTTAATTCATCCTGCTTCCCAGACCATTTCTCCTATTGAGTTTAATGCAGGAAATTATAATTTGGTCAATGATAAATTGGTGAAGCGTTATAGTAATAAAAGAATCATTTCGGTCTACCACCTCAACAAAATTATATGGTTGAATCATTTTCTGTCAACAATTCTTGTAACTTTAGAAATTTTCTGAACACATTTGAGGATAATTATAATACCTTAAAAATCATAAACTCAATAACCTTGCTGATTTTGCTTTACTGTATCTCGGATTGAATGTTGTGGACTAATACAAAAAAGATGTTTGAGAATAGTCTTGGCGAAGAGACGAAGAAATTGTCAAATTTGTTAGGTCACAACTTAAGAGTAGCAGAAATGTGTTCCGAGCCTTGTACATCCAAAATTTCATAGCCTAAAGTTCAACGAAAAAGATTTTTAACTAGCAATGAACTGGAAAATCAGAAATTAAATTAAATGGCCATTCTGTAAATTGAACGATAAAATTATAAACTGTCCTCAGTTTCTGGATGCAGATGTTAATGATTGTTATGACCTACTAAAGAATTCTGATTTGTGCTTTTTGTGTACGGAGCCTCAACACTTGCCTAAATGCCAAAGTAAAGGTTGTTCACAAGTTCCAGGTGCTCCAGGCGACCATTAATGGATATTGATGAGGTTCTACAGGAAGCTGTTGTCAAATCTGTCCACAAGTACTCACAAATTTGAAAGGGAGCGTGGTGTGTCGAAAGATACTGTTAGTCACTATCTACTTGTGAAAATTTATTGAAAAACCCTTCTGATATGAGATTGTACCTTGTGCATATCTTCCATCTTAACAAAAATTGTTAGGAAAGAGCACATTTTTTTTCTTTTGTTTCAATTTTTCCTCAGAAACTTGCTTTCAACACATTTCAGGAAAATTATTTCCAATAACAAGAATTACAGCCGTTCCACCAATGAAATTTGAGGGAATTATCTGATTCCACCTAAAATGTTCTGCAGACTATTCAATCCCTCTCAAGTAGGCAGTTAGGAATTAGGTATTTGTCTATGGTCAATAACTGAGTCAGTCAAAATAATTGAACAAGTAAATATTGAAACTTTTTACATAGATAATCAATAATTAGTTTTTGTAATAATTTTTCTTTTTACCATGTTGGAAAAGTATTTGAATAAAATTTCTGTATGCATTCATAATGCAAATTCTAATGAATCAACAACTGATTCAAGAAATGATGATTTCAATAAAATAATTTTATTCTCTGGTGCCTTCCAATGCTGATCCACCATGACATGAGGTACACCATGTTTAATAGTTAGAATTTGTTTTTCAGCTTAATTAGGAATCCTGCATGTATTTTAGGGTATTACACATTACGAACTTCACAGCTGTTTCTTTCCATTTGGTCCCCTATTCGATGCAGTCGCTTCAGCCTCTGACAGGGTTAGATCTGAATCGCCATCTGCTCTACATTACTTCTTACGTCTTTTATAGAGCTTTGATGTCTCTTTTGTATTAGCCCTCAGTCTATTCAGCTTTTTCCATCTTTAGAGGGTACCCAGGTATTACTTAAGCGGAAACATCGCTGACCCGTTAGACTTTTGCCAACTCTATGGTCAGTGCTGGTTTCGTAGAGGTTTTGGCCTTGGATAATAGGCTGAAATTGAGTTGATGTACATATCTTGGCATTAAATTCTCCCATTACAAATTTTATGTCCTATTTTTGAGCTTGGTCCAAATCTTTAATAATGATATCATTAACTGAGGTGAAGTTTATAAATGACTTCCTTGCAGCTGGACTAACTTTAAATCCAGTACCAACAGTACCATTTTTGTCATTTCTTCTAAAGTAGACAGTGTGATTGTCAATAGTTTTTTAGTCAATCTAAGGCGCTATGTCACCTCTCTTATTTTGGAACCTTCAATAATTTTAATATCTCCATAATTCATTTTTAATCCCCAGACCCTTGACGAAATGAATTATTCTCTTGTAGTATAAATAGATTAAATTTCACAAATTTGTTTATTTAGTCTACATCAAAAGTCAACTTTCTTGAATCTTTATTCATGTCTTGTTTCCATCAAAATAACAATATTAGCAATGTTATAATAATCAATATGAAGAATGTTGAATTGAAATGGAGCTTTATTATTTTTCATTTTTTTAACATTTAAGTCATAATAATCCCAAATTTATATTTCATCTTGCAATTTACTACAATAATAACTATTCATATAAGTTTGAAAATTTTAAAATATGTACTTTTTAACAAACAAATAATTTGAAATAGTAAATTGTTTTAAGAAATTTTCTTTCAATTCGACCTTTATAATTTAATATATTATATGAAAAATCCTGTAAAATTACACTCATCCCATGTCTCAAGTTAAATTAGGAAAGTTTCAATAATTCTAAATCTTTTCATTACCTGTTTTTGGATTTATTTATAAAAACTTTACAGCTTTTTAATTAAAAAACAAGTTGACATTTCAGTAAAATTTCATATTTTCAAAAGTGTAAACCAATAGCAAAATTGTGCATAATTTCAAGAAATTCTGAGATGAGGTTTAGACTGTGTTGATTTGAGGTTTGACATGGAATTATCCTATGCTAAAAAAGTAACATATAAAATATTTTACATATAAGATAAAGAAAGTTGAATGACTACAAACTAAAACAGGTGAAATAAAATAAAAAACAAAACAAATTTCAACGCCGTAATGGAAAGGTTTTTAAATAATACCTCGAGGGAGAATATTCCAGGCTATAGTGTCGGTGATGGCAGTAAAAATCCAATTCAATTCACCTAACATCGTCCTACGATCATTCAGCTGGCCAGGTATCCTTTGTTATAAAAAATAAAATAAATTAAATTTGAGACATTAATAATAGTAAAAAGAAAAAAAAGAACAAGTTTATTAACATACTTGTCAATATGTTCCAAAGTAACATCAGGCATCAAGCGTGCACTGTTTTGCATATAAAACCTGAGAAAAATAATCAAAACAGATGAAAGTATAAATTTAACAGGAAAAAATGAGTTATTAATCACTAAAAAATAGAAAAACAAAATTCACCATTTAAGAGCTATTTTAATGGGAGTAGTTAAACAAGCAGTAAATATGTCAGCAGGAAGATCAGGATTCATTGGCAGTATCTGTAGAGCTGAACATGCAGCTAACTGAATACAGTTTCTAAAATTCGGAGCAGGTGTAGATAACCTGTTTTGCTGAGACATTTGCTTAACAAAAAAAACAAAACAAATTACTTACAAGTATTCAGATGGATTTATTTATAGCTTTATTAGATATAAAAGTAATCAAATTATTATGTAATTTATAAATGGATAAACAATATTTTGCTAATTTGATATTAGTTAATTACAAGAATACAAAATACAAAAAGGATATCTACCAGTCCAAAATTTCTGGAAATTTGGAAATATGTGGCAGATTTTTTTATTGGGAAAAATTGAGAATTAGGCAAGAATTTACATAACATTCTGTAGTCAAACAGATAAAAATGTACTGTTGAGCCATTCCACTGAGGCAATCCTAATCCCAGCAGCCGATTTCAGTACTTCAACATTTAAGGTCAAAAATGTCAATATACATTATAATATATAAAGAAGCCTGCTGATCGCTTGAATTATTTTCATTAATCCGTAAATATTAGGATTGGAAACAAGGCCACTTATAAATAAGACTAATTTCTGTGACAGAAATAATAATAATAAACACAGTTTTATTATCACTTTAGATGATAAATATTAAAAAAATCATTATTTTCAACTTTTTTTTGTTAATAAGATATGTGTAAATTTAGTTATGTTTTTTATAATACATTCCAGATAATGAAAATAAAAAATAAATTAAAACTTAGTAATAATTTATTGTAGTAATTTTTCGCTGAAAATAATGGTACTTTTAGGTGATAGAATATCAAAACATCTCTTCTTTTTTTTTTTAACATCTCAACTTATTTCATAATAAATCTTTCAATTAATTAATATGACCTTAAAGTTAATTAAACAAGGAAGTTTTCCTAAAAGTGGAGTGTTTGTAGTACAGTTGGAGGATGATAAACAAAAATCACATAAAATTCATGATCTTTTTAAAACACAACTTAAAATAGTTAATCTGCTCAAAAGTCCTCTTTAAATGGTTTTAACAATGACAAAATTTACTTTTGTTTGAAGCAATTTTTTTCTAGTTTACAGTGAAGTAATTTTTAATTACTTATATTAAATAGTTGTTTAGTTATCACTTCCTATTCAACAATAAATGTGACACTTAAAAAATCACCGAACTTAAATTTCCTACTTTACTGCTAAAAATCAGGCCATTGTTTACTTTTTTGTAGCTCTTGAGGTTTATTTTTACCATTTAAATATTTCCCTCTATTTACAGAACATCTTATACACACACACACATGCTTTATAGATGAATTGTGCTATAAATTTTTTTCAATCTGACAAGGATGTCTAAATTTATGACGACCAAGGTGCCACAAAAATTGTTTAGCCTATCAAGGGAAGCTATCTTTAGGGAACAAGGAACTCGTCAAAATGGACTTTTGTATGGAGAATGAAAGTGTTGATGGAGAGATACAAGAAGTTTTATCACTTACAGCAAGATTAATGAAACAATAAATTGTTAATTTAATGGATTAAAATGATTTAATGTTTTCAAAATGTAGAAAATAATATTATATATGTTCCTTTTTACGATGTTCAAAAAAAAAAAAAAACTCCAATTTCCTACCATTTACGGGAGTCGTACAGATATGCTTGATCAATGTTAGCTATAAAAAGAAAATTATAAGGATAGCCACATCTTGCTATAATTAAATTCTAGTTCTATAGCCTGAAGTAGATAAAAAATCTCATAGGTTATGAAACTTGTATACCAATCATTATGGATTTGATGATCTTAGGAAAGTTTTTTTTCGAAAAGGAGTGTATTTTGTATTAATGTTCATTTTTGAAAAATAATCTTTATATTTAAGAGGTTGGCAATAAAAACTTCTTTTAATGCAAGCAAATGTTGTATTTGACACATTTTCTTTTTACTTTCATTTACCTATAAATGAAATACATAGTAAGGGACAATATTGTGATCGTGAAAATTTTCAAATCTGAGTTCTCAATGGATGTTACAGGTCTAAGTACATGTTACAGGTCTCCTGAGTCCAAATAAACAAGTCCCGCAAACTGTGTGTGTGACCCATCTAGCTCAAAAACTAAATGTTTTATGTAAGTGAAATTGCATATTTAAGTTTTGTATATACCTCAGATGTTATAGCAACTTTTTTCTCAAAATCGACTAACCAGAAGTTAGTTGCGGCCGGCCTTATGACGTATTTAAAAAAAAATACAAAACGCCTTAAAACAATTAATTTTAACCTATCAATAAAGCAACTGTATTAGAGTAATACTGAATGAAAAATTAAAATATTACATAGTATAAAACTGCTTAAAAAATAAATTAAATTTTTTTAGGGGGAGGGAGAGGTGACGTCATTACCCAGGGGTGACAAATGTTCAAGGACGGCACTGCTGGAAGTGGCACTTCCTAGCAGTGGTGCTAATGACTTGGTAGCAGTAAGCTTTAAGCTGTAGGTCCATTAAAAATTCACTTCAAAAATTGTATAATAGCCCAACATTGCCAGAAAATAATTTCTATTTAAAGTAGAGAGGTAAGTGAAAGTTGTTTGTTGCACGCCCTAGATTTTTTTTTTGTGTAATATATGATTGGAATCTCAGTAGTATATTTTTTGTAACTAAATTGAGATAGTTAGTGTTTCTGACTTTTTTTTAAAGATTAAATTACAAAAGTATTAACTTCCATTAAAACTTAATCAATTTAATTTTTACTAATATTGGCAGTGACAATCTTTCAAGTGCATTTTGACACATTTTATATAAAATATAAAATAATGAATCTAGCGATTCTGATTCAAAGTGAATCGACTGATTTTAAGCGAATCGTAATTCTATCGTGCATATCAATTCAGAGTACGATTCTTTCAGAGGAGTCGACTCTTTGATTTCAATTCTCAATTCACCTGCCTATCTCTAAGTTCAATCAGTTAGAACCTGTTCAAACAAAGTATTCTTTTTCTATTTATAAATTACTTAATAATTTGATAAATTCAGCTTCAACTTAAAAATTTAGGTTCAATCTTTAAGCCATGTTTTTACTAAGAAAAAAAAGTCAGTAAATCTTTAAAACAATTTATAGCCGATATTCAAAATATGCAAAAAATCACAATATGAGAAAATTGGAATGCAGCATAGCATCAAAAACAATCATGAAGTAACCTAACAATCTTTTACCAATAAGAGACTAATGTTCCACAATACTGTACTTTTAAAAGGACTACTTTTTTAAAAAGTAATGCGAGATATTAATTCCAATATAGTGGAATCTGAGTTGGGTCTCAGGAAGAAATTAATTGCCAGTGAATTATAATTTCAAAAAAAATTTTTAATGTTCCATATGTTTCCGATTTGGTCCAATATCCAATACCTAATAATATACTTTTTTTTTTTTGGGGTCCTCGCCTTTAAGGCTATACGGGATTTTCAGGGACCAGGGGGTGTGGGTGGGGATTTAAAATAATCCCCCAGCAATGGGACGCGAACTCGTATCTATTTTAAATCCATTGTCTCATAGATCTAGTTGCCAGGCAACGGCGTTCACTATTGAAGGCTAGGATGCTAGCCACTGTACTATAGACAAATCTACCTAATAATATCCAAATGCATATCCTTCCATAATAAACTTCATAACCATCGGAATCCTCCCATTTCTAATCTGCTTCCTCTTTGATTCCTGAGAACCCTCCTGGCGTCTGAAAAGAAGATGGTATCATGATCTCCTAATTTAGAAATTTTACTAGAGTGCTACCAATGGGTGGTTTCTCTACAAGTATTCTCATATCATTGTATTACTATATATCACATTTAATAGATGAATTTGTTTTATACAGTTGTAAATTTCATAAATAAAAAAATAAAATAAAATAAAAGATCAAAACAACAAAATTCACCTCATAGTCCTTTTCATGTTGATCAGCAAATTGTTTAAACAATTCAACTATCACACCAGCATTTGAGCAATCATATACATATATTGATGGAGCTCCCATCCATGTTTGTAGATCATATATAGAAAGAGGAATATACTGTGTATACATCTGAAAAGTGGAAAAAAAAATTAAATTACAATTTTAATCAGTTTTTGTTTTTATGGTGTCATAAAGTTCTATTTTTCATGAATCTATGACTTTATTGAACAATTATTTTAAAGGATGATGTTTCGGCCATCATCTGGGCTATTTTAAAGTCTAATTTTATCTATCCCTAGTCAATTCACAAGTCATAACTAATTCATTTCTTTTATGTAAGAAGTAGTGTTGATAAAACAGCTTTAGATTTATGAACAAAAGAATTGAATAAAAATAACATTAATAAATAAAGATAAATATTACTTTAAAAAGAATGGATAATGTAATTACAAAATAAAATCAGATTTGTGGTTTAAAAAAATACAACTTCTAAAATGTAGAGTCATGTGGTAAGGACACAGATAAAGAAAATTGCAAAACCAGTATGTTAAGAACTATTACTAAGAAGAAAATGTAGAATCCGCATTAACAATAGGATGCATCAATATTTTAGGGCACAGTATAGTGATAACACACTACGATAAACATAAAAAGAAACCATGTAAGTACAAAACATTTTGATTTTGACTTATTTAATAGGCACTCTGATTAGAATAAGTTTGGTCGTATCTCTGAAAAACCCCCCTTCCACCGAGGCCCTGATGGCAAGGTGTGTTTAATCTTTATACTTTAACATTTTTGAGTTTAGCGGCACTTGACCGAATCTAACCTGGACAGGTTGAAATTTATTTTGTCCTGGACCCATAGGATGAATTACAATTTGGTTAGAATAGGTTTGGTTGTAACACAATAAAAACCCTCCTCCCTCCTCTACCAGAAATGAGGAGGCAGGGAGTAACAATGAAAAACAGAAAAAAATAATTGCCATTATTTATAGAATTGGCAACCTAAACATTAAAAATAAAAATATATATGATTAAAACATCTAACAATAACATAAGATTCTTTTTTTGTATATAATGAACAAACAGTTTCAACAATGAATAAATGATTACCCAACCAAATAGAGGAATATAATTGAAAGCAAAGAGGCAGCATTGTATACAAATTACGTAATAAAATATTATCTCAGGGGAAAAAAATTAAATATATGCATCGGTTTAGTGCAAAAAGTTACTTAGTATGACTTGATGGAGCAAACCTTTTAAGTACTAATTAGTGAATTTCTATCACATTTATCAATGCAAAAACTTATTAAGTGCACAATGATTTGATTTCAAAAATATCTGATTCTAAATACTAAGTGATTTAATTTTCTAAAATGTTACTTAATAACTATTTGTAATAAATAAATGATACATACAGATAGTGATTTTACAAGTGTAATTTTTACTTTTAAGTAATAGTGTAAGAATGACTTGTTAAATTTAATGTTATAATAGTTTTAAACACCAAAAGTTATGAAATAGAGAAATTTAATAGAAAAATCTAGATGGCACTGATGTTCTTGTTTATTCTCCTTTAGCCAACATCCCGACAGAGTACAGTACTATAGAAGTAAATAGTTTCATTATTAGTAATTTAAGGAATAAAATGTCACTTAATAACTTTTTGCAATAAAGCGATAATATACGTATTCACATTCAAAAGATCTCCATATTTTTATACACACTTAAAGAAAAAAAAAGTCAGGTAAATAGGGTCAAAATAGCTTCATCGCCTCACTGTTTTATTGTCAACATAATTACCTCTACTTCAAGATCTATGATTTGTCATCTAAGAATAAATCTACAGAAGCCAAAAGTATAGTGTTGTCAAGGAAAAACAGAGAAAGCAAAAGAAGTGGATGAAATGTGATAAAATTGAAAGAGGACCATCCAAGTATTAATATTCGTATCAACAGCAGTAGATGTTATGTCCAGTTAAAAAAAGTTCTCATATAATTATAGAATAAATATAACCTCCCTTCACTTTCCATATGTTCATAGTAAATAGTATTCTTAAAGATTAGACACATTAATTTTAAATTTTCTATTTGATCTCTGCAACATTAGGCTAAATCGAACAAGATATTTTGAATTATAGGCTTAACAGGAAGAATATGATTTTCATCTGTTATATAATTATTGCGTGAAGGTAGTGGTTGGAATTTCATAAAACTGATATCTGCTTGATCATTTTTTAACCAATCCAGCTTCACTCCAACTTTGAGGAGAGTAGAATGTGCAGCTTTTGAGAAATAAGCATATAAAAAAAATATGGTTGTGCATATGTAACAGAAATTCCTGGATAGAATTCAATAGAATTGATGAAGCATTATTTTTCAATAATCTTAAACTTTCCTCCGATTTTGATATATAAAATTTTCTGAGAAATACATTGATGCAAGCCTTAGTGAAAGTAACGGATGGAATTGACCATCTAGATTAGCAGTAGTAGTTAATATGCCTGTTCCATGGACTAACTACAGAAAGATAAGGATCTTAATTTGTTACTTGATATCTGTAAAATGCGAGATGTAAGTTTTGATTCTAAAGACAAAATATTTTTCAACATACTGCAAAAATATAAAACTCCCCTACCTTTGGTAGTTATGTGACAAATAAATGAGATAATTATATCTTTACATTTTAAGGCCATGTATATACTTAAACACTCTCCTCCCTCGTCCCAAATGACCATGCCATTGCCTTGTTTTCCTCAGATGAGTATAGAGCACTATGAATGAATTAGCCCGATCCAAGTAATTTAAAGTGAGCCTGTGCTTGGTTAAAGCACAGTATGTACAAAAGAAGGGTGGTGACTGGGGTCGGCCTGCACAATTTGAGCATACTACTCCCTCTTCTGGAGGTTAATTCTTTCATTTAGGTGCCTCACTGTATTGGTAGATCTATGGGATGGACTTTCTATCAAAGTAATTACTGTTACAAAAAAAATTAATTAAATCTCTTAATAAAAAAATTAAATTTGATCCACTGCTGCTTCCTTATCTCAATCTCATGTTCAGGATGATTTTCTTACTCATCTGGAGTACTACCAATATTATGCTATACTGTGGAACCCCAAGAATGAATTTTATTATAATAATTTAAAAAAGGAAGATGCTTGGAATGAAATTTCTGCTCTAATACAAATTTCAAAAGATGAGTGGTGAAAGAAAATTGAAATCCTCAAGAGGTTTTTTAAAGGAATTCCCAGAAAACTCACTAAGCTAGCAAAAATGACAATGCATGATAGCAGGATGAAGATAAAAATACAGAGTATGCTATCAGAAGAATTTGCAGTAAATAGCGACCTGAGGCAGGGAGACCCACTATCACCTGTCCTTTCCAATTTAAACTTGAAAAAGCTATTATCGCCATACGGACCAACCCTAATGGAACAATTTATGATCGGCTCACACAGCACTTGGCATATGCGGATAATGTGCTCATAATGGCAAGAAACACTACAGCAGTAGGAGCTTTTAAGCCCTGGAGCCAGGGCCCAAAAATCGACCTGATCGCAGGTGAAGGTTTGATTGTAAGTTACGAAAGTCTATGTTATTCTGAGTAAAAAAAAAACCTTGTCTGCCATTCCAGAGCCGCTGCTTTCAAAAATGGCGGCTGATTTAAAGAATATTAGGCCAATAATTTGAAGATCGAAACGGAAAATCCACTGCAAAAATGTGAGAAAGGTTTCTATTTTTTTAACTTGTATATATGGGTTTAGACATGTAAAAAACAAAATTACTAAAGCGGGCAGCCAAGGGAAAACTTTTTACAGCCAAAAAAATCAGATTTTTTCATTATTTTTTGGGTTTTTCACCTATAACTACTAAACAATCCATCAAAGCAAAAAATATATTCTTTAATAAATTAAAGAACATTAAATTTTGTGTCAAACGAGTACATAAACTTTAAAATTTAGTTACGCGGTAAGATATAAAACCACGGTCAACCAATGGTGAGTTTTACCAAATTTGTCAAAAACTGAGACAAATTACTATAAATAGCTATGTAACTTGGAAATGATTTTCCTAAGAGGAAAAACCCATAGAATCAAAGTTGTTGAGTACTGACATTTTTATTGTTGCCCAATTATAGATCTCGAATCAGGATTCGTTATTCCTTGATAAAATTCGGTATCTTTCGGCACATCGTTTACCAAAATCATTTTCTGTCGAGAGATGGAAAAGAGGCTTATACTGCATGTAACAGAATTGAAACAAAACTAACTCAGTAGAATAGACTTCCATACTGTTGAAATATTGCAAATCGCGTTTATCTTCGTTACCAATTTCTAACCATTGGGAGATTACCCATTTTGTTCGCAGCAAGTCTCACCTACATTAAATTAGTTGATACTGAGTATACGCGAAATTTGATGCTCTACAACTTTGATTCTATTGGTTTTTCCTCTAAGAGAACTCATTTTCAACTTACAGGGTATAGTAATTCGTCTCAGCTTTTGGTAAAACTCAGCGTTGGTTGACCGTGGTTTTATACCTTACCGTGTAATCACATTTTAAAGTTTATGTACTCATTTGATGCAAAAGTTAACGTTCTTTAATTTTTTAAAGAATACATTTTTCGCTTTGATGCATCGTTTAGGAGTTATAGACGAAAAACAAAAAAAATCTGACTTTTTTGGCTGTAAAAAGTTTTCCCTCGGTGGCCTGCGTTAGCAATTTTGTTTTTTACATGTCTAAACCCATATATACAAGTTAAAAAAATAGAAAATTTTCTCACATTTTTCGCAATGGATTTCTCGTTTCGATTCTCAAATTATTGGCCTAATATTCTTTAAATCAGCCGCCATTTTTTAAAGAAGTGGCTCCGGAACGGCAGACAAGGTTTTTTTACTCAGAATAACACACTTTCGTAATTTACAATCAAACCTTCGCCTGCGATCAGGTTTATTTTTGGGCCCTGGCTCCAGGGCTATTTGAGGAGTTGTGCAGCAGAAGTGGGCCTTCATGTAAATGAAGGAAAGTAAAATATTTAAAAACTTCCAGGCACCAAAACTGCAATACCATGATCTGCAGATTGGAGGTCACAGTTTTAAAAGTTTAAGCACGTTTAAGTACCTGGGTGCAGTCATTGCACATGAAACAACAGCATGAAAGAAGAAGTGAATGCCAGGTAACAAGTGCCTTTATGGCATACAGGGAACATTAAAGTTCAAAGCTCTTTTCGAAAAAGCAAAACTTATGATTTATGAAACCATACTGAGACCCATAGTTACATATGATAGTGAATCCTGGGTATTGACCAGTGAAAGTAAAAGGAAACTCAATGTCTGAGAAAGAAAAATACTACGGACATATATGGTCAAGATATGTGACCAATAAGAGAAAATGACACATGGCGATTAAGAAACAATTACGAGCTCAGTGCAATGTATGGCACAACAAGAGCTGCCATCATTTATGAAAAAAGCTGGCCGCCTAAGATGGCTCAAAAGATGACAGAGAATAGAATTTCAAGACGCCTGCTATATAGAAAAATTGGAGGAAAGCAATATAGAGGAAGGCCAAGAATGCAATGGTTGGATGATGTTGAGGAGGACGGGAGCGAGAGACGGGAATGACTGGCTTGGAGTTCTTGAGGCGACCCCGATCCTTGTTGGACCGTAGCACCCAGCAGTAAGAGTTTCTACTGAACTGAAAAACCAACAGCAATGGAATAAATACGAACTGTATTTCCTGTTCAGTCCATATGGGTACTAACCCATGTGGCTCATTGCTCATTTGGGGCATGAGTGCCTCTCTATTTGGCCTGCAAGCTCATTCAGAGAGAATGCTTAAGTATACACATGACCTAAAAAATCAAAAGCATTCACTTCATGTTTCTCAGATGATTAATTATTCCAAATAAAAATATTCTTGGTACATGGAAAATCATTTATATACTCAATGTATTACTCTAAGCAGCTAAAATTAAATTCAGTGGCTGCTATTTAAGGACAAGTTTGTGTAGTGTGTAGGTTTTCTTGCAAGTAGACAGTCACTGCTATGCTAAGCAATATGGCCAATTGCTGAGTTTTACTCAGGTATTTGAAAAGATATGTCTATTACCAAGGACTAATGGAGTGCTATTAACACTTGTAACTAAGTTTGTGATAAACGAGGGTGTAAAAATGTTGCTGACTGACATTGTTGAGTCTAGTAGCGCCAGATTGATTCTGGTCTGGGTGGTTTGAGATTTATTTTGAGGTGGATTAATTGAATAAATTACAATCATCCCACTCTAGGTTAGAACAGGTTTGGATACAGCTGTAGAACAACAACCTCATCCCGTATGCTAGAAATAGGAATAAACTAATAAAAATAAACATGTAACTGTCCTCTGCTTCTCACACACTAACTTAGAATGTGTAATCTCCCTTAAATTTTATTTCACTTATTGATACTAACAAATTTATAATTTCTTAACAACCTTCATTAACAATTGGTTCTTCAGTTATTTGAATTCAATTTCATCATAGATTGATTTCATATTATATTTTTTTGGGACAAAATCAGGAACTGTACTATTAAATATTAGCACCATAATTTTGCATAGTTAATATTTCTAACCCTGTTAAAGACCCAAATTTCTCCATTAGCAGTGGGTTTAGGAACACCATGACCATTGTAGTGAAATAATACTCTCTCTTCTTTTGCGTTCCTTCGAAGTGATGTACAGAGCTTTTTTACTTCTTCTACAGTTGGATCAAGGCTTAGCTTGTAGCGGGCTCTTGGTTGCCATCTTTCATACTGCTTTTGTAGATTATTACCAATTGCTTCTAGTGCCTTTTGTGGACTCATAGAAAAGGGGTCTGTAAAAAGAATCGAAATTTAAAAAAAAAAAAACTATAAATTAAGGAACAAATTTATAGTTTAAATTATAGCAAATGTTAGACTTGACTATATCCAATTAATAAGTTCTAAATCACTGTATTGGAAAATTTAAACATTTTATTAAAACAATAAATTATTATAGATACAAAACATCACTATGTGAGAAACAAAATACAAAATAAAAACAGAAATTTTTAATTTAAAACATAAGAACTCTAAAAAAACAAAATAAATATACTAGTATCGACAGTGTTCCAATAATTATAGGATTGAAAGTGTTAGGATTATAGTCCAGAAAGTTAGGGGAAAAACAGCCTTACTTTATATTAAAAAAATAAAGATGAAACTTGTCAGAAATTGTTCATTACCTTCCCCATAATAACTGACAAAATTCCCAAATAATAGAGGGGAAGAAGAGAGGATAGAAAACTGATATTTTATTTAGTTTATTGAGAGTATCTAAACAATTAAGATGTTCTTTGTAAAGATTGTTCAGTACAATATTAAAGAACTGTAAAATATCTATAAAAATGACCTTATACATTTTTTTTCTTCAATAAAATCAAGCTCATTAAACAAGAAAGTTTGGTGAAAGTGTGGTATCTTCAGTCCAGTTGGGAGGTCATACAAAAATTGCTGAGAATCCTTGTTCTTATGAAAAACCTAACTTAACCGCAGTTCATTTGCTTAAAAGCCTCCTTTAAATAGCATTAAAAAAGATTTAATTTCCTAGCATTTAAGGTAAATTTTATCTAGTTCATTATGAAGTAATTGATTATAACCTTCAGCAAACATTTTTTTGGTAATTGTTTTTTATTGAACATAAAATGTTGTTGACTTATAATTACAAAATTTAGGTTTCTTGGTTCTCTGTTTGTAATCAAACTATGGTATATAGTAATTTTTTTTAGATTTTAAGGTCTGCTATCACATTTTATCAATTATATGTTATTACTTTTGAATCCAAACTTTATATAAATATCACAAAATTGCCCATCGATTAATATCAAACATAATTCTGTAGTCAATGACTTTTTAGAACAAAGAAAATAAAGAAACTTTAAATAATAATTTGAAATGTTAAAAAAATGAATTAAACTTCAAAATTATATCATCTAGTATGAACAACACCAATTTCATGGTTTAGAGCATTTTTTTCTCGAAGGTGAAAATACAATAATTATAATCTCATAAATATCTCCGTAACCATTGATTTTATCAAAAAAAAAAAAAAAAATGTACAAGGTAATCTTTATAGATATTTCAAAGTACTATAATATTGCACTGAAAAATCTTTGCGAAAAACCTCAATTGTTTGAGATATTCTCAGAAACTAAAAAAATAACAGTTTTCTGGTCTTCTCATTCTTTCCCCATCAAAACCCAATGCGGGATTATTTGGGACTTTTTACCAGTTATTATGGGGAGGATAATAAACAACATCTGATGAGTTTCATCTTTATTTTTTTATGGTGGGGTAAATCCCTAGTTTTACTGGACAATTACAGGATAGATAAATATAAGGAATTATAGGATGCATAATGGATCCTATTGAATATTAATAGATGCATTAATGAATCCTGCTGTATATTTATGGATGCATAAATATATATCATTTTAATAATAAAATATGTAAGGACTGAGTGATTTGAAAAAGAAAAACAATAATTTTATTTTGACCTATCCAACATTCCAATCTGGCACATGGTTGAGTCTTTACAATGTCTGGTGGGTCTACTCCAACATTAAGACAGATGACAAGGGCTACACTCACAGTTTTCATCTGTAAAGAAATAAAATGAAACAGTCATTCGCTCATAAGACTCAAATAATATTTAAAATAATAAATGTTTGAAAGAATAAAATACAAGCTTCATAAAAGTAAGGTTTAAGAAAACAAATAGTGAATGTTAAAGGACTGAGAAATATTTGGATATAAAACTGTCATTTTACCCTCTCTTTCATTCTCCATGTTTGAGTTAATTTATAGCCTCCTTCAATGTTTTCTAAGTGTCTCTTTTTATTAAATGCGACAGGGATGTTCCAATCTGAAAACTGTTCAGTTGATTCTTCATCCTCATCTTTTGGAAAAGATGCTTCTGATGTCTTGCTACTAACATTTTTGGGATTATTCGAAAACATTTTATATGCTATAAAATCACAAAACCCATTTTAAACGTATAAAGCCAAATCTAAAATAAGATAAATCACGAAAATTTAGCAATGAACGACAGCCATGTTTCTGATCACGGACACAATTTAAACTACCTATTTTGACCTATAACGGAATTTTTATTTTTTGTATAAACTTTAATGAAAGTGCAGGGAATTCCAGCTCCCCAACAGAACATAACGAGCATAAGATAAAATTATTCCACAAAAAGAAACTTCCAAAGGAACAGAATAACATAAGCATCGATTTAAGACAGTTTTCATGAGAACAGGTTATGTTATGTAAGTCGGGACCAAACATCAGTCAGGAGCAATGCAAGTGTGAGCTTGTTGAAAATTCTATATTAAATTTGGACTATGGCCCGTGTCACACCGCCTCTTTTTAATACTTATCGAACAACATTTAATTACCCTACAAAAAATTTACTTCAGTGGTTCCCCGGACACATGGGAAAAGGACTGAAGCAGATGAATAAACACTTGAAATCTGTAGATTGTATAGTCGAAGTTCATGATGCCCGTATACCTCTATCTGGTCGAAACAAACACTTCAGAGATAAACTTGGTGTTTTAAAACCTCATATTTTAGTATTGAACAAAATCGACTTAGCAGATTTGTCATGTGAGAAGAAAATCTTGAATGCTCTTAAGAAAGAAGGTACTAACAATCTATTGTTCACCAATTGTAAAAGTAACAATTTTTCTAGTATAAAAAAGCTAGTTCCAATGGCAACAGATCTAATTTTGAATTCAGAAAGGTACCAGAGATCAGATAATAAAGAATACTCAATAATGATAACAGGCGTTCCTAATGTTGGAAAATCAACCATAATCAATGCTCTAAGACACACATATTTAAGAAAATCTAAAGCTGCTCCTGTTGGAGCAATTGCTGGAGTTACAAGAAGTGTCACTTCAAAAATAAAAGTCAGTGAAATTCCCCTTATATATGTTATGGACACACCTGGTATATTAGAACCAACAGTTTCTGATTTGGATGCCGCATTAAAGCTTGCATTATGTTCTTCAATGCAAGATCATTTGATCGGCAGTACAATTATTGCTGATTATCTACTGTTTTGGCTAAATAAGCACAATAATTTTTCATATGTAGAGTATATGGGAGTGAAAGAACCGATGGATAGTATTGTAGAGTTGTTAGTATTGTGTGCAGTGAATTTAAATAAAAATATTAAACTAAGAAGTACTGAAGGTGGTTATATAATACGTCCAAACACTGAATTAGCAGCTAATCATTTTATTAAAGGATTTAGGACAGGTTTGTTTGGTAAAGTAATGTTAGATAAAGAATTGATTAATTTTTAAGTTTTGTTTATTGTATAAATTATAAAAGATTGTAGTAAGAAAACTCAGTTATTTTTGAACAATTCCCAGCCAAGCCAGGCCCATAATTCAAAAAACAGCTTAACTGGTAAAACAACAAGAATCAACAAGTAATAATACTCCACATTAGTAAGTTTTTCATCAATATTAATTGTTTCATTATCTAGGTCATCCTCAGGCATTTTATTTGTAAATACCTAAAACATAACATATTATTTATTATTCATAAATTAGTTTAATGATTGTCTTGAGATATTTTGTTGTTGATTGTATTATATAACTTAATATTAATCCGTTGAATGTACCTGTATACTATTTGTGGATAGTAATAATGATCATTATTCCTTATGATACTAAAATAATAGTTTAGGAATTCTAGCTATATTTGATGAATATTTAATAACTTAGTGAATGTATCAATTTTAAAGAATTGAACAACCTTATTGTAGCTGTAACCTCCCCATGATCCTCCAAAGAGCTATGTTCTAAAACCTGTTCGACTATTTAACTTTAAATGTCAATGGTTACTGAGTCCTTGTGAAGTATAGTGGTATACAGATTGTGTTGAGTAGGCTATCTTGTTATTTTACTGCTTGCATCAATAAATATTTTTCACGCTAATGTACCTGGCTATAGATCAAATGCATTAGGGATAAGTATACCTATCAAATGTGAATTCTCACCCTGATAAAGTAGTTGATTAAAATAAATTAAGACTGCTCTATTCCAATGATCACTAAATAATTACCCTCGAATGTTGGGTTGCATTATGAACGTTGATTAATTTGAAGAGATTTACCGTCATTTTAAAATAAATAACTTGTTGAGAAAAAGTAAAAAATCTATTTGAGGACTTGATTTTACTGAATAATTGTTTTTGTTATTAAATAAAAGCCTTTAAAACTCCTTGGGATTTTAAACTGATCAAACTTTATTAAAACATTTGGAAAGCTGAAATATTACTTTATATTTTACGCCTATATAAGAAATAAATGCAGAGGTCTGTGTAATATATTAAGCTATGAATCCCACTAATTTTCGTGTTAATAGTTGGACCATGTTCAAGTTATCACAATTTTTGCGATTTGAGAAAAAATAGAGTTGTTAACAATGGATTTGTTATATACGTTAAGCACAACCAAAATTTTTTGCTTTCCCTTTCCTTCCCTTTTAGGTTACATGGGACTTTTCCCGGGCCTAGGAAGAGGGCGGCGATATTATGCCGAGTTAAAGTCGCTCCGGGATTTGAACTCTTTATTTTCTCATTTATAATTTGAGTTATCAGGTTACCGGGCAACGCGCGTTGCTGTGGACGCGTCTTTGCTCAATCGGCCACCCTAATCCCCCCAATATTCATAAATAGCTTCTCTTCTAAAGTCTGGTGTAGAGAGAGGATTCTCTATGCAGAGTTTTTCCATTCTGCTCGCCCCTGTGCCAGCTCCCTTCCTTTTTCAATCTATATTCCTAGCCACGAACTTCTCCCTAATATCAGGTTTCATTGCAATAGATAAATATGAATATTTTGCTCTATATTGCGCTTTGATTAGCAGGTATAACATCCACAATAGAGCTATAAACACTGATATATCTCATAAAAACATGTGATAGAAGGCACTTGAAATATTGAGAAAAAGATTTTTATTTTTCGACTGCAATGAAAATCGTGATTTAACTGTTTTTAGATGTAAAAATTTATTTAGTACAATACAGAGAGCTGTTGCTGCAAGGGTATTAGCATGAAGCAGTGGAGATTCAGTACTATTTTTTACCTTTATGTTTTAATATGTTATTCTTTTTATTTAAAAAAGAACAGTTCTGATCAGGAGTGCCCAGAAGGGGGTTTCATGGCGCAAGTTGCCCCAATTGTATATGATCTGCAATTTTATTGTTTTACTTTTTTTCCAACTCCCCAAAAAGTTTATTTAATTACAATTACATATATAAGTATAAAAAATACAAATACATACAAAGAACAAGGTCCTTCCTCTGCCGGCGGGAATTTTAAGGATTGGGAATAGGTAAGGGTAACATTTGTGTCACAAGACCTTGTAACTTTCATTGAACGGGGAGAGACCGTTCTGCTAGTTATTTATTATCTATACTATTTAAAAATTAATGAATTTGGACCGCAGATTCCAGAACACATCCTTCGGCGAATATGTCCATCAAAAGCAGTTTACCTTACCACCTCCCTGGTCTGGAAGCCCTGTATACTCGTAAACGTGGATTTATACAGGTATCGCAGGAGAGGGGGCCCGTGGAGTAGTGTAGGTCTTATTATAGCTTTATAAATTTGGTGCATGAGGCTCAGCTAGAGCTGCGGCGACTTCAGTTGGTGGAAGAGCCGGCTTGTCTTCTGCCGTGCCAGGTTGATCCTCTGCCTACCGTGATTGGAGAAGGTTAAACGTATATCCAGTGAGATACCAAGGTAGACGACCAAGGCGGGGATTTTATGATCAGCTCCTCCAACGGTGAAGTGTGTGAGTAGAAGATTCTTTTCGTTCTGGAACGAAATCACAATAGGATCAGTCTTCGCAGGGTTCACTCTGATACCGATCGCTTCTAGTTCTTCAATAATGGTGGCTGAAGCATTCTGTGCCAGAGTGAGTGCAGTAACCGCGTTGACGATGGCAGCATATATGCCAATATCATCCGCATAGGCTACTACCACCGCCTCTGGATGCTTGAATGCCATTACTGGTGCTGTGAAAACGACGAACATTATTGGCCCCAACTCAGACCCTTGAGATACTTCGTAGGTGGTATCGACTGGGGTTGAGTAATTCTAAAATTGTTTTCTCTGTTCTTAAAAAAATGTGAGCAATTAAATATCTTGGGAGAGGTGGAGGAGTCGATTTCGCGCCATTCACCTTGGGGATCTCTGGTTCCAGTGGTTTGTTTGTTTCGATGTCTAAGTAAAAAACATCCAGGTCATCAGCGCCCGATCAACTAAATAACACAACTTTTATACTGTTCAGATGGTTGGTAAAAAAATAAAAGAATTAATAGAATAATATACATTTTAAAAAGGATAGAAATAAAATAAAAAAAAAATAGAATAAAATAAATAAACTAAAAAAATAGCACTAAAATCAATAAATTAATTGAAATTAATAAATCAATGAACTTTTAAAATAAAAAATAAATAAATAAATCTGCAAAAGATCGTTATTTATAAACTTGTTATACATGTTTTATAATTTTTTCATTGTCTAGGAACTTTATAACTTTGGTAAGGATTTATTCTTGATTTCCCAGAGATGCTGATATATTCTGGTGTATTCCGAGATCTTTTAACCTTGCTGTGTAAAAAGGGCACTCTTGCAAAATATGGTTTATAGTTAAGGACTAGTCACACTTTTGACGTCTGGGGATAAGATCTTTTGTTTTGAGGTGGAGGTGTGTCAGTCTAGTATTTTCCATCCTCAGCCACGTGAGGACGACCTCTTCTCTACGACTGCTGCGTTTGGAGCTGCTCCACGGTTGCATCTCTTTTTTTATTGTATTTAATTTGCTAGATGCGCTGTTGTCCCACCGTCTTTGCTATCCTTGGGATATCGTTTCTCTTAGAGGTCGTGCTCAGATGGTGTCAAAAAAGCTTTACCGTGGCCTGGAAGGGTAAGAGCTTCTTTTGCTGCTCTATCATCCATTTGGTTTCCTTAATGCCTATATGACCAGGCGACCAGATAAAATGTGCCGTTGTTCCAACTCCATGAAGCATTCTTATAAGATTTAAAATGCAGTGTATCCCTGGATGGTCTGGATACATGTTATTCATGGCTTTCAAAGTACTTAGGGAATCCGATACCACAACTATATTTGCAACTGACTTCTTCATGACGTAGATGTATCTGATTTAGATCCGTCGGTGAATATTAGAAGATGTTCAGATAATGTGATAATTATTTTGTGGAACTTTTCTTTATAATCTGCAGGTAATGTACTACCTTTGGAGAATTTGGTGAGTTGGAGATTTAATTTTAGTTGTATATAGGTCCAAGGAGGTATTTCTTTTTCCATTTCATATAATCTTATTTGTACATAATCAGACATTCTTTCTGCCAATGGTAATGTGGTAGTCCTCTTTTCTTTAAATCTTTTTGAAAATTTAGATTGAAAAACATATTTATGGAAGGGATGTGTAGTTTGCGGGTATAACTTAGTAATATAGTTGATTGCTAGTTTATGTCTTCTAAAGTACAGTGGACTCGACACAGATGCTCAGGATTGGACTTATTTTAAAGGCTGCAGTTGAAAGGCGTATTCCAGTGTGGTGCACGGAATCGAGCTTGGCTAGAGCATTTTTCCGGGCAGAACCGTAGACAAAGCTACCATAGTCTATTTTTGCACCGATTACAACTTAGTATACTTTAATTATGGTAGTTATGTCTGCTCTCTAGTTAGTTCCACTAAGTTACTCTCAATAGCTGAAGTTTTCTAGTACGTGTATCTTTGAGTGATTTTATGTGGTGTTCCCAGGATAGATGTTTATCAAATAACAATCCCAAGAATTTGCAAGTGGTGACATATGGTAAGGTGGTGACTAATGCGTCACCTAAATGAAGTTCTGGTGATTGTGTAGCACTTCGTTTTCTGTTGTAGTGAATACATTTATTTTTTTTTCAGAAGAGAAACGGAGTCCCAATGATTTCGACCAGTCTTCAATACGATTCAGTGCTTCTTGGAGCTTTTCTTTTATAGAGAGGACATCTTTCGCTCGGTAAAGAATAGCGAGATCATCAATAAAGAGCATTACTCGAGCATCTTAACCACGCGTGGAAGCTTTTTCTCAAGTCACTAACCGCCAGCGCGAAAAGCGTTGCACTTAAAACGCACCCTTTCCCTTGTGGTACTCCACTCACTTGTCTACATTGTTTGGACAACAATGTCCCTATTCGAACGCGAAAGAAGCGACTAAAAAGGAATCCTTGAATGAATTTTGGTAAGTTACCTCTGAATCTTAACGAATGTATTTCTTGGAGATAGCAAATTTATCAGTTTTGTCGAAGGCTTTTTTCATATCGAAGTAACCTGCAATAGCTTGTTTCCCCTGGATGAATGCATACTGTAGTTCGGCTTCCATCTGAACCAGGTGATCTACAGTTGATCTGTCTTTGCGAAAACCACATTGGAAGTTTTGGATGAGATGATACTTTTCTAGGATCCATGTGAGTCTCTTGTTTACCATTAGTTTAGAGTATCGATTGTAGTTCCCACATGCTGAATGGAATGTTATAATCTTGATATGAATTATTCTCAGAGAAGTTTAGATCTTGATATTATTTCCAGAAGTCGTGTAAATGTCTGAGTAATATTCGACAAATGTTCTTTCAACAATTTCTGGATTGTCACATAGTTTTCCATCGCATATCACAGTATGTTTGTAGGAAGAGTTGGTTCTTCTTATCTTCCTTATTTTGTTCCTCACAACATTGCAAGGAGTAGACGAGTTAATGGACTCAACAAATGATTTTCATGATTGTTTTTTTCTTGTCATCTTGTCTGCAAACATCCCTTTGTTTTTTATATTCAGTTTGATTAGCCTGATTCATATATTTTTAAATTTCTTAAATGTATTTCTCCGAGGTTGTATGGTTTTCTTGCAATAACTATCGAACCAGAGGACAGGTGTCCTTTTGTAATGGCTTTTGATTTTAGGGATTAAGAATTATGCTGCTGTAAGTATTGCGTCAGTTATAGATTTACACCCATCATCTATATTCAGCTAAAGACGTGAACAGTGGCCAA